ACAGACAGGTAGGGTAAAGCACACAAAGACCACAGCCATCTAGCACTGCTGGAAGTTGCTCCTGCCATGACAGAGCATGGATACATCTATCTGGAGAAGATACATCATGCCTATTTCTTTACGGTCAGGACCAAATATGTTTTATTTAATTGATAGAGAAGCCACATCAGACTTCATACTCTGCCTTACTAGTTGAGTGTAAAAGCACAGGATCTAGCAGACATGTCAGGATTTAGGCTGTAACAAATATAAATCAAAATTCTATGTTGTGCAAGTGAAGGTCAGCAAAAAATGTCAGTGTGGCATGTCAGCATGCGTACATTTGAGTTACAAAGCATATAAGCACAAAAGCCAGTTATCACCATATCAGGCTTTTACTGTTGTGAAGAAATTAGGGTTGCAGTGTCACATGGGAGCCAAGATCCTAGAAGGTTACTCTGCCTCGTAGAGAATGAAATTAGCTGTGTGGTTTGCCATTTCCCAAATGTGTATGTCTGAAAGGACAACAGGCTTCTAAGGTAAATTATTAATTACAGTGCAATCACTTCAAAATACATGAGATACATCTGCTCAAAGGTTAATAACCAGTAAGATAGCCTGTAATACAATGCAAGGAGAAAAAAAAAATCTCATGCTTACAAATGTGTCAACAGGGACCTTTGGATTCAAGCTGCTGAATTAGCTTTAGCAGCTTGTTAGCAGACTAGTTTTTTGTCCTTGTTTATTATTAAAGAGCCCTGTGACACACTTTGAGCACCATTAATGTGCACAGCAAGCCATAGCTAGAGGATCTAGTCCTGGAAAGGGTGGTGCAAGTGGGGATTAGAAACCATCTGGGGAGTACCAACATGGAAGAGCAGCTGCACCATGAAATTCCAGCAGTGGCTCGCCAGAGTATTCTGGAGCAGTGTCAGAAATGAGGGAAGCCATGCTTGGCAGCATGCTCTCCCTCTGATAGGAAGCTGGGTGGACTGCATTTTTACTCTCTTCTGGCTTATCTGCTTGGGTTTCTCATCTACAGGAAGTAGGGAAGAGAGGTAGAAAGAACTTGTGCTCTTGGGTTTTGTCCTTAAACAGAATTGGATCTGGGATCCCACAGTTTATCCCACAGTGCCTGAAGACATTGCTGTAGTCAGTGCAATACTACGGTAGTACTGGGAAGAGACTGGAAAAGTTTCCAAAACCCACTGTAGCTTAACAACTCTGCATCTTAGTCTCCTTCACCTCTTCCCTGTATCATACTGCTGAACTAACTGAGGGCCACAAAAGCACAGTATCATCACCATCATGCTAATTGCTTCCCCCACCTCCCAAACTTCACACACATCTGCAACCACTGCCATAAAATCTTGCCCTTCAGTTGCCTTCCAACACATTTCCTCTTTCTCCATAATACTACACAGCTCCTGGAAAGATTTCCGCTGTCATCCCCAATGCTCCTATGCAAGTTACTGGGTCAGATACACAGCTGCCACTTGGCATACCCCACAGACATCTGTACACCACCCCATTTTCCTCAAGTTGAAGGCCCTGCACTAAGCAGCTCCTCCTTGTGCTTCCTGTGTGTTCCAGACACCCCACTGGGTAGGAAACACTTCCTGCCCAGAGCAAGCAACACCACCACAAACTGAATGAACTCTGGTGAATACTTAAGACAAAGAAGCTAAAGGCTCAAATATACCATCCTGATTACTTGCGGGAATGGCAGTCTGTCCCCATTCATCAACTCCAGAATCCTTCCGGAAAAAGAAGGACATGAAGTTACTACAGTCCCATCTGCTTTGCCACAAAGCAGCAGGGAAGCCCACACACTGCATTCAACTAGCAGCTGAGGCTTTTGTTAGTGAAGCAAAGCCCCAGAGTCAACAATATGCACATCTGTAGGATACAATATACTGACCTGTCACCTATAGTGTTGGCATGCTGTCCTAAATTTATCCTAAGATATAGGACAGATTTCAAGTGGAGTAGAATTTAAACAAAGGAGGTGATTCAACCACATTATGACCAGGCTGCTGCCAAATCCCCAGCTAGGGACTCAGATAGGAACAGCACTTTCTGGAGGTAATATTTAGTTCTCGCAGACTGGCCAAGCAGGGGGCTTCTCACAACTGTATCCTGTATAGCCATGTGTGTTTCACATCCTGCCTCTTTTTTTGTTAATCCCCAGCAAGATGTCCAAGCAATACACTATGAAATACTACACAGAAAGGTTTGCATTAAACCATAGGTTCAACTGATGCATTGTGACACTACCATTGAAAGGCCATTATCCTCTAGCATTCATCTGTCATTCTTGATTATATGCCTGCAAATTAAAAATCTAATATGTTGTGACAAAACTGTGCAATTGAAGAACTGCAGAGTAAGCAGTTTGCCAACTTGGAACAACACTGGACAGGATGCTGTGTTTCAGAAAGCCACACTGAATTTCCACCATAAGGAAAGAACTCTTTACAGGTTAAAAAGTGAGTAAAGCAGGGGTTTTCAAACACCCTTTGGATGGAAAGGTAGCTGAACCACCCCATTAAGTCACCAGGAAGCCAGTGCTACTTTAAGTAATTTCACTGTTTTGCAACTTATTACATCATTGTTAAACATCACTAATGGTCTTACCATCAAATATTTCCATGTGTACTGGAAGATCCGAATGGAAGCATTTAAGAAAACACTTAGCTTACCTCTGGAATAAATCTAAGATGTGTTTTGTCTTTTGTTTAGCCACTGAAGCAACTGTTCTCCTTACCTGGAAACCTACTATTTTTTGTAGCAAAACAAGTGAACTGTAGTCACACGGGATATTTTCTTCAACCAGAGACTGATATGATTGCCAGTCCTAGCCTATTATAATACTAAAAAAAAAGTAATGTTAATAATGAAATAAAACACAACCCATTTTCCATTACCCTTTTAGCCCAAAATGCAATGTAAAAATATAACTGAAATGTACTTGCTCCCCCCAAAAAGGACAGTAATAAGCAAGTCAGGAAAATGAGAGGGTAGACAAATTAGACATGTCAGCATGAGAAAACTCTGTATTATAAAAAGACGCCATTAACTCTTTAGGTGTGAAAGAAGGAACCGGAAAATTCACATTTGCAGCATTCAAAACACTTGTGAACATTTAACTGAAAAAAACGATAGGCATAGGATAGATACCCTGGAATAGCTAATGCCAAATCTCATCAAAGTATGAGATTCTTGCCCCAGCTGTGATAAAAACAAGGAACTCAACACCACAGATCATTTTGGAGAACAAAGATTGAGCAAGACTCAATGAGAAAGCAAATTTATATAGGAATAAAGAACTCCAGAGTGCCAAGACCTGGAGCACGCTCTGACCACTAGCAGCTTAGCTGACTGTACAAGGCCAGCAGGTTGATAGAAGGTATGAAGAAAACTTGGTGGAACTTCAGCAGAGGCTCACCTTCAAACAGTCTGTTGGGAGGCCTCAATAAGGGCAGGACTCTTTTGCTTAAAGGCTGCTGTAAAGCTGAAGCTCTCACCCTGGCTCTTACCTGAGCTGTGCTATGGCCATGCACTCCATTTTGATCCAGATCCAGTCCATCTTCCCAGCTTTAACTCCAGGCCTGCCTCACCACTATGGACTTGTCTGGAAACCACAGATCCTGGTCACTCTGTCCAGACCTGACTGGGATCCTCACTCAATTTCCCCAACTTGACTTTGGACCTTCCCTGTCACTACAGAACTGCCTGATGTTCTGGCCCCTGGGCTGAACCAACTACCCTCATGGCATTGTCTGCCTCCCTTGGGGTACAGTGGGATTGGTTCCTTGCAGATGAAGCCACTGCTTCTGCTGGTTTCCTTTCTCTGAAAGAACAGCTTAGCCATTGCTGCACTCTGACACAGAGCTACAACAGCTAAAGTGATTAACAAGTATTTGCTGAGAAACAAAACCTACTGAAGCCTTTAAAAAAGTTTCTTACTTTTAGGGACCAGGATGTTTAAGGTTGGTTCAAAGTTGTGTAAACTGCCATATCTATCCTGCTGACACACATCTGCTGAAGTTTCCCCTAAACTAGGTGTTACCTACTGCCAGATGTGATACCCGAATTAAGAGTCACTCAGTTTAAAAACTGAGCCCATAGTAATATAATTTCTCTCCTTGTCCTATAGACTACATAGGAGCTCACATATTAATGCTAGAAGTTCTGCTGAGGTGTATTTTCTTTGACATCTGTCATTGTTCATTGATAAGCACAGAACTAGCTGACTGGGATTTAGTAAATTAGCAATTGCCATAATGCACAAAGAGAAATATTGTGTTGGTCCATATACAAAGCAGGCAATCATCAATTTTGAAGGATCAAAAAAAAATAAAATCAAAGCACAGAGTGAATAATAAAGACCCAACTTCCTCCAATATCATGTGTAGTCCCCACTATGGATCAACACCAATCTCCTCCTGTAATTCCACACACCACCCTTTAGATCTCAGTAGTCTCTTTGCTGACTCACTGTCCACCTTTCCAACAGCTCACTTAACAGGCATGCTCCAGCTGTCTATCTACACAGTACTACAGAGCCTTTTGCCACTCTCCCTGAGGCACTGACAGGCTGTAGCCATAAAAGTTGAGTTCAAATCTCAGCATCACCACCTCCAGCAGACCACACTTCAGTGAGGCTGTGACGAGTACACACACTTAATCTCGTCCTTGCCCTATATTTCCACTAGCACGTAAGTCTGAAGTATGATATAACTGAATTATGCTTACTTGAAAGTTCAACAACCATTAACAATCAGTGTCCTGTGTCGGAACAGAAGGAACTGTCTGTTTAAGCGCTCTCACATACTTGTTTTGAATAAAAGTATCCTATGGGTTTCAACATACAAAAACCCCAGCAGCAGTTTTTCCCCTATAGCATTGCATCTTACAAGAGAAATAGCATCACTAGATGAAAGAGTTAGCTAAAACCCAGAACTCAACAGGAAAAGAGATTTGAGACACCACATATCACTTCCTTCTGCAGGCACGACTTTCTTTTTTACAGAAAATAAAACCCAAACATTTTTATTGACTGTACTGTAGATACCTGTACAGAGTGTAAACTTTAATATTTCACCAGATACGTGAATAATTCTGGAGAAAGAGTTATTAAGCACCTTCTTTTCAACACATTTTTGATATTTACAGTAAAACATACCTGATTAAGTGTATGAATAAAATGAATTAAAAGTTATAAAAAGTTATTAAAAATCTTTAAAATGTTTATATGCTTTGTTATTTTATGATAAATATACAATTAAAGAGGAAGTTGTCACACAGTTAAGACTCACTTGGCTCTGTTTAAAACTGTTACTGTTGTGTCTGAAGAGGGAGTGAGGAAATGGGGATGTTAGCTTACTCTCTGATCATGACATTATGAAATGTGCTCTGGCAGAAACTTCACAAGCCCCATTCTGTTCTGCTGCTGCAGGCTGGCTTGTGGATAAGCTTCCTTCCCAACACACAGTGTGGAAGCCAAACTTCACTCCCAGATTTGTACTGCTAATTTGACATAAGAATATGCATTTTGATTTTCCCTACCTGCTCCAAACTCACTGGTGATAATTACATCAACTTTGCTTTGATTTTCAGCACACTTTTTGCTGTTACTAAACACTGGCACACAAGTAGTGGATTACTGTCTTTTTTGTTTTAAGCACCGAGACACAGGTGACCTTTCTGGAAATCAGACTTTTTAACTGCCGTGGTTTCTCATGGTCTACAAAAAGGCATAGCACAATTTGCTAAAGGAGGAAGACTTCTAAGCTAGAATTTAAAGACTGCTTTCAGGCTAATAGAATCAAGCACAGAAATGTTATTTTAAAAGCTCTCAGGAAACAAATGTGACTGTGTGTTGCTAAAACTAAATGTCTCCAAATGAATCAACATCAATTCTTTGATGAACTCTCAGCAATTGAGATCTGTATCTGAAGTTTGTTTAGTGGATTTTAGGAAACTGCTCAGCAATTCACCTCAGAAGAAACATAAATCTCTTAAAATCTAACAAAAACTTCAAATACACCCACTAAGCAGTGTTGATCACCTATAAAGAATCACTTGCTGTGTGAAGGATCACATGAGCTACTGTCTCCACATTTATCTTTAAAAGCAAGTAGATAATATTACAAGGAACAAGATACAGTTGGACCCAAGCTGGGCAGCTCTGTCTTGCTCAACTGCTACAAAACAGTTATTGCCTATGTGTGTGCTTGCGTATGTGCATCATGGTTTGCTCTCAGCAGCAGGGAGCACTTATCTTTAGGGCCTGATTGTGTTGATAGGAGTGAATTGTTTACAGCACATTTCCAAAAGGCGTCTGCTGCTCTAATATATTTTAATGCTCAGTTTCTTTCTATACAATCCACTCCCACTGTGTTGTCAGGGCAGCGGCAAGAACGGCCTCCTGGGGTAGCCAAGCAGAGGTGAGTGCAGCCGCCATTATTCACTGTACAGTAGTTATGTCCTGGAAAAGAACAGAGATATAAAATGTTAAAGAAAAAAACCCACCAAAACAACAGCAAAACAGCAAAACCTCAATAAAACCAATCCACGTAATACAAAAGAAGTGCAGGTTACACGACTACACTAAGAAAACAAGCCATAACAAGATTGCAAGTGAAACAAAAGCATGTTTTAGGGAGAGGAGAGTCATCATACCCCTGTTTCAGCTTCTGATATTCACCCCAAAGAAAGATCATAGTATAAGGACAGAGCAGGAGAGGCAACATGAAAACAATGAGCTGTTCTTGAAATGCCTTTCATAAATTGGCCAAGTGGTTGCAGACATTAGAATGAAGACACAGCGAGTGAGGAAATACAAGTGCAACACATGGGGACAAAATCCAAAATACTACATGACATCATCCCTGGATAACACCACTACAAAAACTGGAAGGGTGACCCACAAAACCAAAAAAATTAAGTGGGTGGGCAGGAGCACATTAATGTGGAAGGGTAAAATGAAAGAGGCCCGTGCCAGAAGTAATGGATCTGAGGGGTAAAGCATCTGTTCCAGAAAAAACACTTGAAATGGATATATGAGAAAGAAATGATACAAAGGTTCTGAATATTATACACATAAACATTTACTCAGAGCACACAATATTGTTTTGTCTTACACTACCTACCAAAATGGAACAGCGAATTAACTAGTAAAAACAATGTAACTGATTTCTTAATTATGACATTTATATGTGCTTTTAAGCTGTGAACAAAGCTTTCAAGTAAATTTTTCACTATATATATTAAATCATTTGAAGAGAAATTATCTTAGTTGTTTTTAGTCCTAAAGTAGAAACACCACAACTTCTGTATTTCCAGCCATGCTGTAATAATGAAAAAAGTGAACTCTTCTGTGATTTCCTAAGAACAACATAACTGAACAGTGATATTTCTTCCCAAGGACAAATTGTTATTCCAAGGGTATCAACTTCCTCTCTTCCAAGTTTCACAAGAGGCTTTTCAATAAAGTATATGAAAAATTTAACATTCAACAGAACAGAAAGACCAGAGCAGCCACTCTACCACCTGCTGTGTTCTCAACATTCCCTTTGTAAAAACACTGGATCTCATTAAGGCCATCTGGAAGACCATTATATTTCTGTAGTTTAAAGTTAAAAATCATAGAATCACAGAAACCCTTCCAATGGGTTTGGAAGGGACCTTAAAGATCACCTAATTCCAACCCCCCAGCACAGACAGCAACACCTTCCACCAGATCTGGTTGCTCAAAGCCCCCTCCAACCTGGCCTTGAACACTGCCAGGATGGGTCATAATAATAAATAAGTAAATAAGGCCCTAACCATGAAAACAGCATTCAATTTAGACAATGATAAGACAGCAGCTTTTGCCATGTCAGATCCTTCTATTGATCATACACTTGTTCTTTCAAAAAGGACAGACCAGGCCCCTTCTTCCCTCTCTATTCTAGTTTCATATGGAAACCACAACTACTGCTTTTGGGGGGGGGGGGGGGGGGGATAGAAAAAAAAATTAGGTGGCTTTTAATTTCTGAGTAAACAGAAATCTAAGCACTGACCAACTCTTCATTAGTTACCTAGAACAGTTGGCAGCTAGTCAATGGGAGCTACTACTACATTCATTTATCTGCCAAGGTGCTGCACAGCTGTAAAAACTTGAGAATCATCTGGATTACCTCCTGGGCACTGAGCGAAGGCAGTAGTGATTCCATAGAGACGGGAGCGCTTCTGAGGCTGGAAGTTATCATTTTCTGTTGAAATTGTGCGATCCACTGCTACAACAGCATCCCTGCCATATGCAAACAGAACATACAAAATGAGATGAAGGGGGAAGTACAGGGGAGAATAAAACAAACAAAAAGGAAGGCTTTTGAAATTGCTTCTTTTTTTACAATTAGAAAGTGATGTCAGAGGCAAAATCCTCCAAGACATCATCTTTCCTGGATAACTCAAATGAGTTACAACCTTCGTTCTAGGCAGCTAAGAAATTTTAGACAGAGCCACCTTACTAAGTTTGAAGGAAATTCCAACACTGGACAATGTCCCTCTACAGGAATGCTTTCAATGCATTCTCTGTATTCTGCCTCTCTGATGTTTTCTATGGTAGAGCAGACTTTGCAGCTATTATATATAATGATGTATTTCAGGTGGCGTTTGATATCTGGAAGGAATACAGCTAGTCATAAACAATCTTTTCTTCCTGAAAATAAAAGGGCATTCTACTGGCAGACCTGTAACACAGTTTCCCATTTCACAAGCCTACTTTAGAATAGCATTTCCCAGCTGTTAGGTTCTACCTTGGAAATCCTTACACATATTAATAGCTCTTCCTGGTGCAATTGGTGAATTCATTTGTGTACAAGTTTGCAGATAGAGCCCACACAGCCATTTATGTCAAGGAAAACTAAATTTTTTTTTTGCTGTAATATACAGTAAACTCTAAAGTCATAATCATGATTCTAAAGTCAATAGTTTACATAATGTGGCATAAATAAAATGTCATCCAGACAGCAAAAGAAGCTTTTTTTTTCTTACTGCTGGCTGAACATTCAGATAATATAGGGCATAAGAAGCCATGAGTGACACATTTCTGCCCTCTACGACACAGCAAGAACAGCCATAAGGGAAACATGTTAGCTCCCACTCCTTTCCCAAAAATGTTCACTGTTAAAAGTATTTTCTTAGGGGACAAATCATTATGCTGAAAATGAAATCTCAGTTAACTGGCAACATCAATAGGTCAGCTTTACAAATCCACCCCACCCTGAATCATCTTTCACTGGGAAAGCAACAAAACAGGAATGGGTGAGAAGTCACATGAGAAATGCAGTATCTACTCCAGTTTCTACCAGGCAGAAGAACAGATTAAAGCAATCCATAATTTCTTTAGCAGATAACATACCTTCTCCAGTCTGTGTAGTATAAATTCTTCCCATAGCTTGTAACACTAAAAGGATACTGAATTCCTTCAACAATCTTTCGTCGACCAAGCTGATTAGGGTTCATGCATTCCAGCCTCTTGGTACCTGGGTGTAGGGAAACAAGCCTTTGAACCAGAGCAAGAGAGCTCTCATGAGGGACTAACGATATGCATAAGCATGCAAGCATGAACTGAGTAAATTCTCCTGGAAGTCCTTCAGTACTCTGCTTAGTCAAAGCACTTCCCCATGCCACATTTCTGCATGTGCCAAAAGCTGGATGGTAAAGCACTTTGGTGCTAATGCTAATCAACACACTTAGAGGAACCCAGATGGCCAGTGAAACCATGGACATCTTTCACAAGCTGAGATTCCTGCTGCAGATACCAGTATCCTCAGGCTGAAGTGGAAGCTGACTCTATTCAGGAGGGATACTTCAGCCACTAACCAGTTCTACCTCCTCTGGAAGGCATTTTTGCAAAGTTAGTTTGGTGAGAGCGTTCCCAAAATGCTTGCTGGGTTAGGCCATGAAGGCAAGACTGCAGAAAGAATACCTGATGCAAATAGGGTGTAAAAAGGTCTACCTGCAAGGCAACTATACACACTGAGAACACTGCTAGTGAATGTATATGCCTGTAGGTTTCTCTTAAGTAGTTTCAAACTAGGGGAAAAGAAAAAAGAGAAAAAAGAAAATGTGAGAATGAGAGGAAGAGAGAAAAAGAAGAGAAAAATAGCACCAGGAGATACATTTAAAGGTAGGAGAAAGTGTCTTACAGTGAAAAAGAGAGCTCGATCTTTTTAGTTTATCAAAAACTTGAAAGGTGACTTGAAGTGTAAAAGCACCTCCACAGGAAGAGATCTCTGGCAGAGTCTATAGAGTGAAAGATAGCAAGATTAAAAAAAAAAAAAAAAAAGTTTAACTGAGAATTAGAAGCACTTTGTTGTTGTTTTTGACTGGCAGGACACTGGCACACAACTCAGAACGGGTTGGTGGCAGAACCTTCATCTCTTGATCTTTAAATCTAGTGTGACTTGCTTTTTCAATATGTGATTCAGTCACTTATAAGCTGACTTTTGCCTAAGGTTACAGGTCTTGCAACAGTCCCACTATGACATTCTGTAGGCCAGATTAAATGAATCACTGTGTTTTCCTGGTCTTAAGATCACAACTTTTTTTACAAAGGCCTAAGCACTACCTAAAGACATAGTCATAAGACACACATATACAAACCTGTTGCATTTCTAGAAAGTTTTGTGATCAGAATTGAAATCTTTCAGCTTTCACACAGTCTGATGTAAATACTACAGCGGTAGTAACAATGAATAAATTGAGAGAATATTAAAGCCAAAAAGAAAGACATGAAGTCTGAGATGCAGCCCAAAGAGCTATTAATTGGCTGTGGATAATTCAGGATTGGATATACTTATTCTATTACTATTGTGAAGAAAGACTTTAGCAGCTCTTCACCTGCATCAACCCAGCACAGCATTAAGGAATAAGGATCAAATGTCAGCCCATTTGGTAACCCAAGATCATCTTTAACAAGAATTCTTCTGTTTGTGCCATCCATGTATGAGGTTTCAATTTTAGGAGCTTCTCTGTTCCAGTCAGTCCAGTACAAGTTTCTTAAGAGGAAAAAAAAAGGTAAGAATTAAGACAGTGACTGATCTCAGAATATTGTTGTAATTAAGAAAAATGCTAAGGACATAAAAGTAATGTCCACACCGTAAATAATTTAAATAAATAAGGATGACGTACAGAAAGAAGGGTTGTCATGATGGAAATGAAAATATTAATATTTAAATCTAGTATTTTAAACCAGTAACCTTGAAAAAGAAAAAAATATTCTTTTAGGTAAGGGCAACACTTGTCATCCTGCAAACAATGTACCTAAAGTGAGGTTACAAATAAGTATTTGACAAACCTCTCAACAAAATATCACAGTATTACCTAGCACGTATTTTACAAGTTTTACTTCCAGTGTACCACTCAGACAGAGGACACACATCCCATTTCTGTTTGTTAGTTGCTTTAGGAAAAGCTAGTGCTATTATTGTCTACAGACAGCCTAAAAACATATGCCATTGTTAAACAAACAAATAAAGATCAAACTTTGCACACGTCTCTTGACAACATATCCATACCCTCTCATAGGATCCACAACAATTGCTCTGGGGTTCACCAGGCCAGTGTCAAAAAGGATGCGACGCTGGCGCCCATCCAGCCTGGCCACTTCTATTCTATCCAGTTGAGAGTCAGTCCAGAAGATGTTGCGACCCAGATGATCTACAGCTATCCCTTCAGGGCTTCCCAAGTCTGCAGGAAAACAGATTAAAACATGCCTATTTATTCCTAATACACAATGTCAGTCTCATAAGCGTAACTGTTAACTAGAGATAGATTTTCTTCTGCTTTCTGGCTGTGGTCCAACAAAAGTTACTTCATGTCAGATGGAAGACAAATATGCAATTTGCCTTATGAAGTTTAAATGCACAAAATTTTCATAAATACATAGTATAACAGATTCTATGAGGAAGCGACTCATCATGCAAGTGAGCTTTCCTTGGGGGGTGGGCACAGAAAAAAATGATAGTAGAGAAATAGAGATTATCAGAATCTTTTTCTAGCCTCCTTAACAGGCCAAGATCCATAACGAATTTTATAATCCTTAATGTTTCCTGTTCTTTGGTACTGTCATATGTGGTCTCTGAAAACCAGATTTATGCTAAATTTAGCCAATGCAATCCTTCAAGATAATCAAGCTCCAAAGCACTAGATATAATGGTATTAGTATTTAGCTCCAGTTCTTTGTTTTTGCAGAGCAATTCTTTCTGGAACATATTTTAGTACTGTATGTGCACAGTTTTTCTTGGGCAGTTAGTTGTTCCAAAAGCAACAGGAAATAGCAGATAATGACATTACTAATGTTAAAGCAGTAAGTTCTAGCACAGATGAAGGATGAAGAATAAATATGTAGCTGGAAGGTTTAATTCAGCCACTATGAAAAACAAGATTCATACATCCACTGAAAAAAAGCAGGCAGGCTGTGTGGGTTATAGTGAAGTCAAAGAAAGGTACAAAGCAAATTCAGTCTGATTTCTGTTCCAAAAGAAAGAGCATGGTACATAATCACTCCCAAAAGAAGATGAAGTGACACTTCATACCAGCCAGCTGTTGAAAAGAGCCACCTTTCAAATGCAGATCCACACATCATGTAACTATCCAAGAATGACACAACGTGATACCATAGCATGCCGCTGATTTTCAAGTTTATTTACTGACAGTCATTAGACAAACAGTATGCGACACAGCCTTTGTGGAGAAAAGGCATATGGTCCAGAACACTGGGGAGAGCTGGCTAAAACTTGCTACTGTGACTTTGCTATGAATAATAGCTGCACAATAGCTTCAAAATCAACAGAGAGAACCTCTGTCCTCTCGCACAGGTAGATTACACTTACCATACTTAACCTGGACACACGACATTTTGGATGTATATTCATTGCTGAAGAGGCAGAAAAGAACAAATAAGATGTACTTCACTGCTTCTGACTCACAACTCATACAGAGTGGGTGCCCAAGAAAGTGAATCAGTTTATATCTCTTGTCCTCCAAAGGGCACTTGGCGTCCTTTAACTTAGTTACACTGACTTGACACTATTACCTGTACTTCTCCAACTGTCCCTGTGGAGCGAAACTTGTCATTGCAAGAAACCACCCTCACCATATATTTCAGCTCCTCAAATGTTCCTACTTTTTTCTTGCTCGTGGCAGTGGCCTCCTTTTTTAAGGTGCCATTGGTGATAATCCCCAGTCTCTGAGATCACTGACTTGTGGCAGTGGAGCTCCCAGTCTCTTTTAGGAACGGAAGAAAGTAGCAGGCAAAAGATCTTCTGCCACTGATTTTCAGGAGCCCCTGTTCCCTGACTGGTTTCTTTGCTTCGTTTTTCTTGTGTCAGCTATATGCCAGGAGATTTAAAGAAGTCTAATGTAAATATCTTTGTCCAGTTGACAATGAGACAGAAAAAACCATCCCCCACAGAGGGATAAATGAATACACAGGCTTCATCATCAGCAGGATTTCCTGAGGCATAAATATATTCCTGCTATACTGTCATCAGGCCTGATAGTCACAGGCTGTGTCCCTGGGGACATGCTTGTATAGTCATGTATGGCTGATAAGACTTAAGCTACTGGTACAAAGAGGAAAGCTCTCCTTCCCAACCTGCCTCCACAGCTGCAAAGCTCAGAAAGCCTCCACAGGCTATACAGCTGCAGCGATGGATGAGAACTGGATGGGGCTCCACAATAAAACATGTTTCTGCAAAGTAACACAACTTGGATCACAAGAGTTTTCACAAATAAAAAAAACCAGTGCATTCCACAAAAATACATGAGAACTGAATAAAGCAGCTGCAGCTCACAGGAGGAGAAGGCAAAGATCAAAACAAGTGATTCTCATGAGTTTTCTAAGAGGGAGGCATTCTCTTATTTCCTGAAATTTTAAAGTTTCAGTTTTGGGCAGCATTGAAGACATCCATTCAAATACTGAATATTCAACCTTCTTTTGATCTGACTCCTTACTGAAGAGCCCGTTGACATACAGAAAGTAAAGTGCAACAGCGTTCAACGTCTCTTCAGGAATGGCATTCACTTTGTATGCAGACAACAGAACAGAAATCATGAGATGTCTATGCATATACAATGCTATTTGTAGCAGATAAAACCTGTGACATTTCCATGTGGCATTGAATTATCTAAACCAACCAAATTTAGTTGAAAGCGTTCACAAATACTCTATTCTATATTTTATACATTGCAAGATTTTTAATGTGTGCTCACACTCATTAGACTAATTCACATCCACATCCAATTTTTAGCAATAGCAATATCCTTCCTTCCCTTCTTAAAGTGCAGAATCTGAGAAGGTAATAGTGGAAATCAGAAATCCTTTACCCACAGAAACTGAGAATTTGTGAATGTTCAGGCACAGGCTTACACTACAGGTTAGAGTCCCTTTCAGATTACATATGTTGGGATGAAAAAGACATCTTTCAAATATCTCAAGCTGGACAGAAATACAAAGCTCTGTAATTACTGGAATGGTTAAGGATGGTCTTAAGCTCTCCATTCGCAGGACAATGGTAGGATCCAAGATACTTCCCTTTTCCACTGCCCCTAAGAGCCTGAATGGAGTCCCAGCAAGCTGGCTATTTTGAAGTAGAAACTCCAGGCGGAGATACTCGACCCATCCAAAGAAAATTAAAGTAAGTTTGTTGTAGAGTTTTAAAACTGGTTGATCATTTTTTCTAAAATAATTTCCTCAGTTTTTGTGACAAAGGATCTGCAAAGGATCTTCCTTAGGGGAAGGAGTGTAAGAAGAGGACATAATCCATAAAAGCACTAACTTCACAATACCCTCTAGTCCAATTCCCAAATCCTTGAGCAACTCCAAGGGCAAAAACTGAACAACGTGGCTTTACTCACTTTTATTATACAGCTTGACTGGGAGGCATGGAAAGTCACAGCTGAAACAGTTTCTAACCACCTTTACAACTGTTTGACCCCAAGCCCAGGAACAGTGATCAGGGGCTCTTCAGTCTGTGCTCACCAGCCATTTTTCAGCAGAGCAGGCAGCTGACAGGCAGAGAACAGGAGAGAAACTGACAACCAAATCTCAGCTAGCCAGCATCTGCCTTGCTTGCCAGACAAAAAAAGTAAGTGACACCCACAGATGCTTTTCCACAGAACATACAAATGCAACTCTACTCAGCCTGAGTTTTGATTGCATTTAATACCCATTCAACAGCAAACTGACAATCCATCATCCCCTTTTCAGATCATAAGTACACTGAACAATGATGGGTCTACTCCAGTACATGACTTAGGTTTTAATGATAACCTTCCTTCTTCACATACTTACATCTTGTAGCCATTGCATGTAAGCAAGAATAACGTCTGTCTACAGTAGTATGAGTTTAGCCTACCTATGCATTCCATTCTTCATGGCCAGAAGCATGGAATCTTTCCAGCATGGTTGACAAGACATGACTACAAAAGAGGTAGGCTACACAAAGGCTGCCAGGCTGAGCGCCAGATAGCACAGCCACTCCTCAATGCGGGAAAGTGAGGCCTTGGGTTGCTTTAAAAATCCAGGATGTCATGACTTGGGGGTTTGCCCTGAGAGTACTAGCTGTGCTGCCCTACTTTAGTGGCAGCCCTTAAGATCCCACCACATGTAGAGAGAAGTAAAAGCCTCAAAAGCGTAACTCAAAATTCCTCCCTAGAAAGGGCAAAGCATCTAAAGGAGGACAAGTTTGGGTTTTAGCTTATTTGTTTGTTTTTTTTTGTTGTGGGTTTTATTTTTTTAACTTTCCTAAATGCAGCAAGAACATAAGCAGTACTTAAGACTGTAATTAGGTACCAATACCCTCTAACCATTCCTGTGAGGAGCTGAGGCACTGTCCAAGGCCCAGACTATGAGGCTCTGAACCCTGCACAGAGTAGTGCCTTGAGATATGCTTTAAAATCACCAGAGCAGCTCGATTCATCTTTCAAAACTCTCAACCTTTCTTAAAAACATTACCAGTGATGTTCATAAGGTACTCAGTGGTTTGACAGATACAGTATTTTGTGACTGCAGATAAGGACAGAAACATCTCACTGACATGCTGCTCCACTTCCAGCCTTAAAGTTAGTTTAGTTAAAGAGAGCCGTCTTCTTGCCTGTCTTAGCAGTAGAAAGGCAGTGAAGGGCTATTGCACAGGGAGCAGATCTTTTTTCAGTTTATGTTATCCAGGCTTTTTGGCTATTGTTTATCCAAATAACACCAACATGTAATGCTATATCTCAGGCAACAGCTGGGAAGTACCTGTTACTAAATTAATGTCTAATGCCATTCTTAGGGAGTAGCAAGAGGAAGAGTTTTGTGCTGTTACCTGTTTTGATGATGGTTGTTGGCTCCCCACCATTCAGGCTAGCCCTGCTGATTGAAGGGCCACTGATGTCTGTCCAATAAACCATCTTGTCTGTGCAATCATAAGCAACTCCAATAACAACTTTGTCCTGTTGGTCAACAAACAAGTTACATCACCTTATGCTAAATAACAATTGTTTGCCAGCAGCACTAGCTTACGGATCTAAGCCTCAAGCCTGAAAAAAACCCCCAAATTCTTGAGAAAAGGTGGGAGATGGGGAGGACAGGCAGGGAAAAAGATTGGGTGACAGTCACTGTACTTTCTGTTACAAGTCCCTTTTAACTAGCAGACACCATTTACAATTATTTAATTTCAAAGAAACATTGTAGGTATCACTACTGAACAGCTGGTCTGACTTCTACAACTTCACCTGCATATCAATTCAAGGAAAGTTCATGTTGGTATTTTACTGTTATTCCTCATGTATTTATTTCCTCTTATTCTGTCCCTTCAACAAGGAATAAGGAATTTTATCAAATCTGACTTGTGTTCTGGATATTCATCATTTATCATGCATTATGGCTACATTTCAGTAGTGCTACACACATAGCATCATTTGGCTCAAAAAAGTTCTAGCAAAGTTAGTTACAAAAACAAAAAATACCTTAAATACTCCATAAATCTTTCTGCTGAAAAGAATACGCCCAGGGACAAGGAACATATAAGTATGTATGTATCTGCAATTTTCCAGGCAGAAGAAGATAGAGTTTGAGTTTAGAGTTGAAACTCTTTCTTCCAGGCAAGTGACTTTCAGCGTAAAACAATAATTTCACATGGATTCTCAGGTCTGTCACCTTTGCTGCTTTTGTTACTTGCAACTTCTTAGAAAGATGGTCAAAAAACATTAAAAAAGATGCTCTTACTCAGTGAATATTAATGCTGTAGGTTACAAAATCTAAACACTTCTATGCTGCAAAACACTGTCACTTTGCAAATACACAATGCTGAGATAACACAGAGACAACACTGTTAGAGATGGAGAGTTTCATTTTAATTGAAAGTTCTAAGGAAGATTTAGTTGCACCTTATCACTTGGAACCCCTTTCCTGAAGATACTTCAGCTAGATCAAGCAAATAATTAGACTATCTGATAAGGATTCAGAATCATGCCTCTGTGATGTGCCTAACCCACCCATTTTGCACACTATTTTACTTCATTTTTGTATTACTGCAACAGCACTTTAGTCAAGAGACAAAAGCTTGATTTTACCTTTACATCACAGCACAGTTTGTGATACTATTTACTGAACTAAATCTGTGTAATTTATTCAGTATTTGGACTACTAAATATTCACAAGAAATGTCAAAAGCAGCCAGCATACTACCTGGTATTGCTATCTATTAGAAATACAGTACCACTGGAACAAAAACAAAAATCCCAGGCTTTGGGCAAAACAAATTAACGTGATGAAATTGGAAGCAAGAAGAGTTGGCTTGTGTCATGGGTGACGGGAAAGATAGGTTCTCAGAAGAAGGGATTCATTCTCAAGGAAAAGGATTCTTAGGACAGTAGTTAAGTAGTGTGGGAAAAAGATTTGCCACCCACTGGGCCTGCACGTGGAGAAGAAAGCAAGAAACAAACAATAATAATCTATATATATCTGCAGCCAAGAAATGCAGAGAACTGACTGAAAACCAGGAAGAGATCAAGACTTAGGAAGAAAGCTGGAACAACTGAGAAAGAAAAATAGGGCCTCTCCATATACTGGTCTTGTAAGTCTCCTAGACTTTGATGCCAGAGTCAGAAAGCAAATTGAAGTGAGTTTATGTAATGAACTGTTGGAAGCAGGCGAGTCACAAGTATTAGAGTTTTGTCTTATGAGCTATTCTTTAAAGGCAAAGCATTTTTTCTATAGCTCAGTTTCAGGCTTTTGACTATTCAGGTCAGGAATTTTCAATGGCAAAGTGATGGGATGCTGAAATTTTAATCAAAGGTAAAAATTGAGTTTGGAATTTAAATTATCAAGTTATATAGATAAAACCCTCATCTTTGTCACACATCTTCTTAAAATACATAGATTTAGTATAGTAGGTTACTTACTGGAATATGCAGGAGTGCTTTTGCACCATTTTTCTTCATATTGTTCCCCTCTAGTGGAACATGTTCGATTTTACCACTTTGGGCAAAAAGCAAGTGTGTTCCTGGTGGCAGAGGTACTGTATCTGGTCGAACAGAGGGCCCAATAACAACAGGAGGAGCAGCTGTGCTCAGACCTTGTTAATAGAGAAGGAAACGGGGATAAAATTAGCTTGTACAGCATAACAAACTTTGTTATTTGCAGAGACACAATTACAGTCAGACTTCATAGAAGGAAACAGTCCTATAAACAGACACTAATAGCTATAATTAGATGCAGAAAGCTTCTGATTTTTTTCCCCTTGGCTGACAGAGAAGGACCAGTTGACATAATAGGTCTTTTCATGTTCAGCTCTGTAGTTGCACTTTCCTTCAACTCTTTAGAAGGACCTATCTTATTTCACAGAAGGATGCATTTCACAGCTGAATTCAGGAAGATGTAGGAAAGAGCATTCTTAATATCCTGAGGCAAGTCTGTTACCACGCATTCAGATTTGCCACATATCCCAGACGGCAGAAACTACAGGACCCCTCACAGTTTCAAGGCAGAAAAGAAGTTAGAAAACCAAATTTTTATCCAGAGGCTCACCACAGTGGTTCAGGTGCCCTGGCTGAAGGAAAAGCACATGCTGGAGTTACTGAATGGCTGCAGCATGAGCCATATTATCACTGGGACAGCAAAGATCTGCATTGCCCCAAGCCAGTGCTATATTTCTCAGGGGCATGACTAAGACCAACATTTGGGGGACAGTGCACCTGGGTCAAAAGACACCTACAAGGAACAAGTGCTTCAGCCACTTACATGGTGGTCGAACTCCTGGGCCACTTCTGGTGCCATCAATCTCATTTCCATCCCTATCCACACACCAACAATAGCCACTGCCAGAATGGCACTGGGTAGGCAGGTAATTCCCATGCTCATCGCACTGAGGAATGAAGTGACGAACTCCCATCTCCCTCTGGAAGAACGCACCTCCACTTCCAAGAGCTGCTTCTCGCTCGTGTTGGCATTTGGTCTTTTCTACTTCTGTGAGGAAGGAAAAAAATGAAAAAGAAAAAGACCAGTGACTATTTCCATTATAACTATGTTCCATAAACAGTTAATGTATACTGACCAATTATGATGCAAGTGTTCTTACTGCTGGAGGAGCATGGCAGTGTTACAAACCTTGAAGGCATATGCCTTCAGTGCACCATCAGGAAGTCTGCCCTCTGTAAATATGTCTCATTTGCCCTAAACTTACGTCACTTTATTTTTTGCTGTCTAGTTCAAAACAGAACAAACAGCCCCCCTGTAGCTTCCGACACTGAAGGGTCATAAACAGAAGCTGGAAAACCCAGTCTTTCTCCCTGAGGCACATTAGCAAGAACATTCTGTCCGGCTTGTGAACCCTACATCTACTCACTTGACAATTATCCATGGGCCTTAAAATGTAACTGATCAGCCAGGCCATGCAGTGGATAAAGGATTTTTTGTAATATTAAAAGTCAAGTTTCCCTTCAGAGCCACGAGAGAAAACCACAACATGAGACAGATGCTGAGTCCTCTACAGAACCTAAGAAGTGAAACACCTGATTGCTTTGATGTATATTAGATTATTTAGAGCTCGGTTATCAAGTTTGAGCACTCATTTGATACTTTTGGACTTAAGAAGGAACTGCAAGGACAGATTACCCGTAAGAGCATAACTAAGGCTACGTAGACAAAAGGAATACTACTGTGTATGCAGAGAAACATATGCAAACCAGCTACACCACATGCATATGTATTGTTGTAGAGATTACAGAGGAAAGACTAACTTCCCAGATTATCAGGAGATTCAGGGATTGGTTTCAATTTTACAAAACAGCGTGGACTAAAAGACACATCTTATTGTATTATCTGTTATGTGATAGGGAATGTCATCTAGATCAATATACCCTTCTAGATACAAAACAACATAATGAAATTAAAAGAATACAATAAAAAAGAACATCTTTCCTTCCCTGACAAAGAAACCTGGCTTAGTTTTACCTTACACTTGAGACCTTGAAGAGTTCTGTGCACTGGGAGACAAAGAGCTCTAGTTATTTTCTTTTTCTTGTCAATGATTTCTGCAGACAGTTAGAAATACTTACCACAAACTGCCTGCTTGTCGGAGGAGCGACCCGAATCAAGAAGAAAATCTCAATATGAGTTATGCTTTTTGTTCGATTTATTGCACAAGCTCACCTAATTTATACTATTGGTGATAGTTTACGTGACAGCTGTACATCTTTCATTGGCTACATAAACCTGTCCACGTGCCTGTCTATACGTTGCTATTGGCTAAGCTGTTTTACACACATATCTCTGCAACAGCAGGGTGCATGCCTTGCGATAAGAGGTGCATTCCTTGTGGCCAGCAAGCTCCTGTTTCAACGTTCTGCTTACATTTCTTCGACTCCAGGCCTCCTCGGCTCAGCTGAGTCAGAGAGAGTTCAAGGCTGTCTCACTCAGCTCTAATCCTGGGTTGTGCAGGCCCTCATGAGAATCAGAATTTATGTTACCTAACCACTGCTCCACACCTGCTGAAGAGGCTTTAACATTACACTTCCATTTATTCCTTCCTTGTTTTTACATTTCCTGGCGGACAGCATTAGCTATGTGTGGTTCAGACTAGACCCAGCCCAGCTGAGCAAAGATAATCCCCCACACCCACAGACTGTTGTTGTGTAAAGCACACAAATAATAAAAAACTATCCTTCTATTTTGTATTGAACAAGTTATGCAAGCAAAAGCTTTGGACAAGTTTCATGCACCTGGACACAATTAGTGAAATATAAATGTCTGGAGAACAGCTCACTCTAAACAACTGAAATATTTGGCACCAGCTTTAATGTGGGTGGTGGAGAGCATTGAATCAACCAACAAAGCCAGAGGCTAAAGGAAAGCCTCTTTCTCAAATTTTCTTTTCATGTATCCAATGCACTATGCATATACAGGTAAAAAATGTTGATTTTAGCAATCAGATAATTTTGTGATAGGTTTTGGTTTGGTTTTTCTGTTTTTTTTTTTTGTTGTTGTTGTGGGTTTGTTGGTTTTTTTTTTAAGCTCTAATTATATGTGTTTCTCACAAGAAAAAACAGGAGGAATATAGAATATTGGTAGACTGACCCACCCTATGTTTATTTATTGCAGAACAAACTCTTGACTGTATTCATGTCATCTTTGAAAGACACTATTAGCTCCACCTCAGTGGGATATAAAAACAAATGTAAAAGCTGGTTGGTTTTCCTTCCCATATGAAACTCCTAGAATTAGGGAATACTCAACAGCTTATGTATTTTTTAATCCACAGACTAAATCAACTTTACGAAAATGAGTTAGCAAATACGAATTACACAAAGGAGTGTGTATAGACCCAGACAGGACCCAGGTATAATACATAAAATATATTAGTATTATTGGTAGCTTGAAATACCAGTGTACATTCCAATTTCAAGACAATATTCCCATTTATATCTGCAGATTTTATACAGGAATACTGATAGAATTTTTGAAGAGTACTGATCTTATTATGAACAAGACTAAGCTCACAAATGGCCTGCTTGTGCAATTAGCTCCACTGAAGTCAAGAGACTAGTCAAGCAAAATGATTTTCAAAATTAGTATTCAGCTTCTAGAAGGCAGAAAATATGATTTGTTCTTTCTAAAAAAATCTCATCAACACTGATTTTTCAGTTGCATAAAGAGATGCCAAATACCCTATTTCCACTCACTTTTATGGATAGCTTCTGTGTTTTCCTGCTTCTGTGCTCCTGAAAGCATCTTATATTTGCTATAGCTTTTTAACAGTATCAAGTGTGATAAGTAATCCATGTTAAAGAAATATTCTGGAAAGGAACATGGTAGTACTGGCTTTATTTATCTGTGTCAACTCCATCATTTTAACCTGCCTTTCAACATTAAACTCCTTTCAAGTAACATGAATTTAGCCAATATTAAAATTTATAAATCAAAACAACCCCTAAACTAGTTATAATAGTCTAAACCATTGGAATTCACCCTGTATTTTTTTTTTCTCTCCCCTAATCTCTAAATCATGAGCAGAATTACTGTGCTTACAGTTTAGGGACACCCAAGGAAAAGCAAGCCGAATCCCAGTCCAGTGTTGTAGCCTATGCAGCAATAAAGGCACAATAATCTGAGATACCAATGACAGCTGGTTGGGATAAATAGCCGGCTTATACAGTTAATACATTTTATTCGGTGTGCTTAAGAGAAGATGGTTCAATTCTATAAGTTTTAAATTCCATTGATTAACTGTCTGAGATGAGGCTAGCTATGACAGAGTTGGAAAGATGAGATTGACACAGTAAATAAAGCACATTCCCTGCCTTGATGAGCTAACAGCACGAGTTAAAATATCTAACGAGAACTGACACATATTTAGGTTGTTCGAGGGCAAGGCTACTTTGTAAGCCATCTTTCCAGACACAACCTTCTTAGTTAGTAACTTTCCTTTCCTTTGGTACAGTAGCCTAAACGAGGTTTCTTGATGCTCTTCCTTTAATATTAATACAGTAATATTTCATCCAGTCAAGACTTCAAAGATACAGAACAATATTAGGACAGTTCTCTGATCCCTTGATTGGCATGAAAAAAAACCAGACACTTCCATCAACTGCAGCAGGTAGAGCTAAGAGCAAATACCTACTGGGCTTAGCGGTGATGTTAGATCTGCTACTTTACCTGATTATAACAAATGGAAACCAAGTCATCCCTATTTCAAGACTCCTTACCTATGGGTTACCAGCCCTGATTTTCGGAGGTTATTACCAGTCTTGAAGCCCACACTGGAAAGTCAAGCCAAATTATCATGTCAGTAATAAGAAAAAAGGTATACACTAGGGCTATTTCATACTGCCAGAGATGAAACAAACAGTAACAGCAAGACCTGGGTTATCTTCAGTAATGCAGTAAGGTAGTGTTGGCAACAGCCTTTTACAAGAAGCAGTACCAAGTTTCAGTATTTTTCCAGTGTCTGTGTTTCAACATTACTGATTAGAGGTTGTTAAAAAAGTGAGTAAAAATCCATTCTCACTTTCTTTCAATGCAGTTGATGCTTTCCTGATGAGGGTAACACGCTCATCCAACAGCTTGTGTTTCCCTATGGCACTCTACCTACGCCCACAGGACAGTATCATTTTCAAGACAAAGCACCATGGTGTGGGCTACCTTAATTTGATACACAATTAAAAACTGACAAATCAGCTGAGACAGTGGACAGATGTCATGAAGTAGTGATATTACTAGTAAGTTTCCATATTACCTTAGCCTTGGTTTTAAATTTCCTTATCAAGAAATTTGATACCCTCATCAGGGTTGCGTAATTTCTGGAAGACAAATAGGCCATAAACATTACAGCAGGACCTCATCACTAGGTAAATTGAGCTTATGAAAATCAACCAGTAGATTCACACAGCCAAATGGAAAGTTACACTTCTTAGAATAGCTGTGTTGTCCATCCTCTAAAGATAGACCCCTCTTGGAAACCACAACCAAAAAGAGCTATCAGCAGATAAGTGCAAGCAGATAAGCTGTCAACACCCAGCTCAGTGCTATAGGCATTGTGAGGGGTATAAATAAGAACACAGCATAGACACAGGGAATAACACACAGGTATAGAAAAGCAATGTGGGATTCAGGAGATGATTCTCTGGTACCCACAGTTCAAAAAGACAGTGAAAAACTGAACCAGTGTACAGAAAAGAGCTCTTCAGAGAGAAACTATAGCATGGAATAGGGATTAAAGGCTTGATGAAGAATTTATGTTCCATGGACACCACAGTACACACAAGTCAGATTAGAGATGTAGAACGGTTCATCCACTTGCTTCATAAGCTACTAGTAGCAATCTGGAATTTGAAAGTCATGGAAATATATCTTGAAACTTGAAAAAAATGAAATGGAAATAGCATGGATATTCAAAGCGAGCCAGATGAAAAGCAAACATGTACGCACTTCTCAGGTAAGGAAAGAAATAAACAGAACTGGGGAAAAAAACCCGCAACCTAAAGCCCTGTAGAAGTATTCAAAATCTTAAAGGAAAGCTCTTGCAGCAGCACTGCAGAAAATGATTTATGGACTTTTCCAAAAACAAGGGAGGCTAGGAAACAGGATGAGGAACAGAGATATATGGGACATCTTCCATTTCACAGGGGATTTTAGTATGAAACCCTGAACCAAATTAAATTAAATTCTGCAATGGCATCTAGAAATTTTTAAAGATCTGATATAGATACTCAAACAGGTTTTCATTCATTCACAGGCTAAAGACAGAAGCCATTTAAAACAGTGTCTGGAATCAGTATGTAATCAGAGAGTACTTTTTAATTTCCTGTGTGGATTACTTTATTCCCCCCATATCACAATGAGTTATATTGGATGTATTTAATTGCTGTTCTCAGACTTTGTCTCCCCCTGCAACCAAAAAAAAAAGAAAAAAGAAGATAGAGTGTAAAACTCAAAAATCAACAGACTTGCTCTAGTCCCTTCATTTTTCCTTTGTAATCTTCCACTTACAGCGTTGCCTTGGTAAGTGCATTTCTCATGTGAAGTGAATTGTATACAGCAGACCAGCAAATGCCACCTAACAATCAGACCCCTAGTTCCAAGAATCTAGGTTTGTTTCTGTTTACTAAACAGTGTCTGGGGTCTGCAGGGGTAGGAACACTCAGACATCTGGTTTTTTGAAATGGAAAAACGAAGCGTGAGGAAATAATGAAGTACAGACTTTCTTAATAGCTGTGAGCAGTGGGACATTCCAGCGTCATTAACTCTTTCCTTAACTTACTGACTCACTGCTACAGACTTGTGCATGATTCAAATCCATTTTACTTGTTAATCTATTTGTTTCAAGAGTTACTGTTCAGCAGCGGTATGATTCAATAGTAGGTTTCATATAACAGTAAAGACACCAAATAAGCAAGGAATTGTATGCATGGATTGAAAAAGGGTACTGCAAAAAGTACTGAGTATTTAAATGAATGAAACTTTCCGTGCCATTAACAACCAGGAAAGACTTAAATTACTTGACTGAGGCTAATTAGATCAAAGCTTTAGTGGCTATAAAGGGGAAGAAAGGGTCTCTAATTACAGCTGAATACAGTACAGCCTCATCTAGAGTCTCCATTCTGAATCAACTGACTTTGCAAATTGGGTGCTAAAGTAAACTAAGATGCTTTTTGCTAAGCTTCAGAAAGTGTATTTTGATTCTATCTCCTGGCAATGATTAACTGCTGGATATATCCATTTAAGAAGTACTAACACTTTAGCAACATATGACATCCCAAGGGCAGCTATTGTTCTATTGACTCTCTAAGAAGGGAGCAGTAGCTAAGTTTGTTGCAAACACTGACATTGCTGCATACTAGCAGAGCAATACAGCTACTCTCAACTTCAGTCAGGATTCAGCAAAAGTATGACTTTTTAATCTACACAGTTTTTTTTTCCTGCTCAGTGCCTTTCATGGGGAAAACCAAATTATACAAGTGATTCTAAAGCATGTCTTCTACTAGTAGTACAAGAGTGCTAAAACCAGAAAGTAATTAGGGAGGCATATATGAGCACTAATAAAACCTGGCAAATCCCACCCACTAAAACAGTAGATACAACAGAACTTTCCAAAATATTTTATTACTACCATTAAAGCTGTGCCATGAAAAAAAAAGACACCAAAAAAAAAACCCCAAACCAACAAAAAACTAAACAAACAAAAACCAACCAAACAAAAAAACCCCACAAAACAAACCCAAAACATTCAATATACAATTGCTTTGTTTGTAGAATGTAAAAAAGCATACAGGATAAGGACAAAAAAATAACACAAAGCTACTACAAAATAGTACACTGTGCTTAGCAGTTTCATAGACACAGTAACCACTGCATATGAAAAGGTGGTGTACTTAAGAACAACAAAACCAAGCAAAATCCCCTCACTAAAGTATGCTATCACATACCCTCAGAAAAAAATGTGTCCTGGTGATAAAGTAAATTGGTTGGATTCAAATATCATCCTACCAAACTACCTGTTTCAGATACAAAGGGGATGTGCCAGCTATGAAAGCACTATTTCTGCCTCTACAACTTTACCTGAAGAGTTGGAAGCTTTGAGGTTTGATATTGATTCAAGTTATTCACATCAAGATTCTCCTCTAGGAGGAATAATCCTGCTTTTATCAGCTGGTTAGTTAGCTAAATATTTTGACACAGGTCAGAAATACTAGGTAGCTCTTAATTCATCTGGCATTAAAATGAAAATACACATGGACATTCATGCATGAAAAGCTAGTTAAACGTAATACTTAAGGACTGACAAAGTGGAAAAAGTTAGAGCTTCAGAATTAAATACTGCAAAAGAGCAATGAAAGCATTTGACATTCTGCAAAACCTGAGTGCTGTCCCATGGGTTTGCCATGCTTTCTAATTAAAGCAACCTGAATGATGCTACATTGTGCTTTAGTATTCCTTACTTTCTGTTTTTAAGCATATCTTCAAGATCAGAAGTTTTATACTACAAGGCCCAAAGTACAACACAAGAACAGAAGTGTGGAAGGGTGAATAACTCTGCTAAATATGGAACAAGCTGGGTAAATAGAGAAACCACTAAGTACCATTCTTTTTGGACTCTGGCTGGCTCTACATGGCATGGTGGCACCTAGATCCCACTACAGACAACAGTAGTTTGGTCTCATCCTTCACTTCTGAAATTGTTACTTTTCATTTACAGTGCCAATAATTCCAGATATCGTATAAGTAACTATTGGGTATGCAAACCAAATCAACCTGTGACCAAACTTTTACTCAAGGTAAATTCAAAAGACAGTATCAGCTTGGGGCTGAGAACTGCTAAGCATAGAACAAACACAGCATGAAATGGCACACTGAAGAGGGTATCATGGAAAAGTGGTAATAATCAAGATACAGATTTTGACACAAGTTTGGTGAAGTTCAAAAACTGAAACACTTGAGAAAGAATAAAGACCTCAATAAGACAATGAACAATTTGTTCCAGAGAAAAAGCAAATTAACATAGATCGTCCAATTCCCAAATTATATTTCCCATCCAATTTTCAAGAACTGTAAAATTTTACCTCCTAACACACACCGGAAACCATCCCCACGATACCCTGCCTTACACTGGCAGCTGAAGGACCCAGGAGTGTTGTAGCAGAAAGCATCTGGATGACAGCGGCCCTGTTGACATTCATCTATATCTGTAAAAAAAAAGAACAATTTCAGGTAACTGTTCCTCCTGATGGACAAATGAGAGCCACAAAGTAAAGTGCAAACCTGCCATATTATTTTCAGGCTTCTATTTTAGGATAGCTGATTAGAGTTAACAGACAGCTCTGTGAAAGAAAGTCTATACAGAAATGCAAAGAAGGAGGAAGAGAAAAAAGAAAGCAGGCATGTATTTTAGGTTCTGTCTCTCAGCAAATCTGTGCACTCTGCTGTTCTGATGAATAACTAGCATTAATTCACATAGTACTTTAGAAATACATGCCCATGTTCCTCAAGGAAAAGACTTAACACAGGAAGATAAGTGGGATTTGGCCAGCAACATTTCCTACACATAATTAGGTAAAGCTGCTCCTCTGCTGCACTCTGATTGACATGAAACGGAATATATTTTTTTACATATCTCGAGCATCATGTGTCACTGCCTCATTCATATACACCAATATAGTGCAAAGGGTTGCATCAGGTGAATATCTAGTTTGCTAACTGCAAGACTGCAATTTCTGCATTTAACTCATTTTTGGACCTTCTTTAGCTGGAATACTGAAGAGTGAACTCAAAAGTGAGGGGAGGAAAGGACAAAAGCTTAATGTAGTGCCTACCTGAAAGATTTAAACTATGAAATTTCCTACTTTGAGTCCCAAGTAACTATAGGGCATTGCAATAACCAGCCAAGCTGTGTAATAAAGAGTATAAAATCCCCCAACAAATGGCGCTACCCACCCTCACAGGCTCGTCCATCTCCAGAGAAGCCAGGGAGGCACGTGCAGACGTAGGCGGACCCTCCGGTGTATACACACTGGGCACGCTGAGGAATGTCACAGTTGTGTGTGCCTGTCTGGCAATGGTTTATGGCATACTCAACAGCTGCAGGTTAGATATAAAGAGAGGAGATGAAAATTTGCATTTTCCTCCATGAAGTCTAAAGCTCATGGTAAGTTTCTAGGGAGAGAAGACTAGCTGTGAAAGCATACAGAAAAGAAAGGAAACAAAGGAAACTAAGTGAGCTGGTTTGGAGATTGGGATTTTTATTTTTTTTTTTTGGTCAAGATCTCCCTTTTCACTTGTGTTAAATCCTCTTATGAATGTTTTACAATGAACCAATGCCCTCAGCATCTCCTAGATATTTGTTAATATTGAACAGGGCAGAAAGGCTACCACAATGACAGATCCTAATATCCATGACAGTTTTGTTTAGAATAAAGGGTCCTGAATACAGAAATGTAAGTCATCTTACAGACATACCTCATGTGTCAGTTAGAATGGCCAGTTCACTTCACTGTGAATTACTAGATATCCCACTACGCTCATCTAGCACTGACCAAGGGCTGTCATCACTTGGCAACAGACAGGAGCTGTAACTCACTCAATAGCAGATAAACACATTTGTTAACTGCTGGGGAGATTTTTGACCAAGAGTGGAAGCCAGGACAAGTCCTGCAGCTTTTCAGAACTTTCTCATTGTTGACAGGAGTAACTTTGAAGGTATTGCACTGCTTTACACACGAGTTATTTCAGGTAGTCACTGGAGCCCTGCCTATGCTTACCTGTTATGTCAAAGAAGAGGAAGAGAAACCTTAGTATTTAAAGCAGGAGGAGGCAAAATACTACAAAAAGTTGGGCCCAGAAACAGGAGAGTTTGCCATGTGTACCTTTAGGAACAGACTTCCAGCTGCTGTGACAGAGAATCCACCAAGGCTTTCTGTACACAGTTCTTACAAGGAGGTGACAGGGGTCTGAGACAAGACTCTACAAGACTCATCACAGTACGCATATGTAAACTACCATACTATCAGCAGGGAAATAACAAAAATCTGCGAGAGCCAGATCTGAAAACAGTCATGTTTTCCATTTCTCTGGAGGAGATTACATCATTGTTAGAATCATTTATATCTCTGTTTGACAAAGCTTTATATTACAAAATAATCTATTCAGAACTGCACAATAAATGCATAAGACTGGGAGTTGGAGCTCAAAGGGAGGGCCCAAATCTTCCTGTTCCTCAGCCTACAAAAAGGAGAACAGGATATATTTACAACTCTCTTCTAAAGATATCCAGCAAGTCTCACAGCTGGTATGAAAAAGCTGTAGTATCAAAAAAGCTGAATCAGAGTTGGTATCCCACTGCAACCTGCAAAAGCACAAAGATGTTAACTGTTGCCACTTCTGGGGTTCAAGTTGTCTGTGGGTTATAAAATCCTCCCCTGAGGAAAGGGGAAAAAGGTTACCATGATAGTTATTTTCAGTCCATTGGGAAAGTAGAGCTCATCTTGGTTTTCTTCAGTCTTACAGATGCAAAGTTTGGTTTTGATCAAAGGAAGGGATCAAACTGAAGTCCTTCAAGCTGGGCAAGGAATTACTTAGTACTTGTTAGAAGTGTGACACATTAACTTCACGAAAAAGTGGTAAAGTGAAGCCAGCATGGTCATGGCTGGAGGGAGGAATGTTCCCTTTCAGGTCCAAGTGACAGAAGTGCACTGGTGGACATAACGGAAAGAACATAAAGTTTCCTTTACACATCTTAGCCTATCCCTTCAAGCATCGTGGCAGAAGTTGCTTTTTCCAAATGTTCTGCAACAAAGGGTGCACTTTGGGTGCACTGTGAACAGATGTGAATGGTAATTGTTACTGAAGTAGAGAAGTGGGGCTTGTGATGGAATGCAATATACAGCATGTAAAGCCACACTTTAAGGGAAGCAATGCAACTTCTTGCTGAAAGATGAAGGCTTCTCAGTCTTAACTGAAGAACACTCTTGGCTATAATGAGGAAAGACGTGAATGCATTAGCTTATCAGAGAGTAACTAAACTTCTACAACAAGGCAGTCACAACAGAATCAAATGTAATCCTCAGCTATTATCAATTATTTCCAAATAAAACAGGAACTGGGCCAATGGTACTGGAAAAGTGTGTATAGGTTTTGACAGTACAGACTTACTGTCAGGTTGCAAACAGACAAAAGTTCTAACAAAAAAAGAATAAAACTAATTTATATCCTATCCTGACAGTTGCAGCTCTAGCAGAAGAGTCATTACCCCTCTTCTAACTGCCATTTGTAGATTATTTTTTATTTAGTTTTTGATATATGCAATATAAATGATACCAGAAAGAATCAGATTAATATTCCGGGGTGTAAAATTTATGGTTTTCCTGTCTGTATGGAAAATTCACTTTCAATATACACCCCACACAATCATCTTGCAATTCTGCCAGATACCAAATGGAATTTCTACAACTTCAGTGAAAAACAGAGCAAACAGAACAAAATATCCCTTGCTAGGACAACCTTAGTCCAGCAAGTACAGATTAACTCAGGCTGCCTCCAGAAAAAAATGGTTTTTAATTAAATAACCAATTCAGCGACAACTACTGAAGTTTTAATGGCTCATCAACAGACTGGACAGCTTTCCTCCAAATCACAACATTTTTAACAGTGAAATGATCTGTAGTTGTAATTTCTTTCCAGCATGATTAACTGTCACTTCAGAGTAAGCCTGCAATAGCCAAGACACACTCACACTGGTTTGACCTGTGTATTGCCTTGTCAAAGGTTGAATTTGTAGCTAAAATCTAATCTGTTAAATTTAATTTCGGATTAGATAATTAAAACCAAACCAAAATGAAACCAAACAAAAAAACACAAAACAAATAATAAACACCACCCCCCCAAAAAAAAACTATGCAAAAAAAAACCTACCCCCCCAAAAAAAACCAAACGAAAAACCACAAAGCCTGCAAAAGCCAAAGTGCAGCACTGCAGAAAATGCAGAAAAAGCCCTACCTCATCCTGTACGTGAGATGCTGTGAAATATCAACAAATCATAGAATCATAGAAATAAGTAACTGCTCACTTTAATTTTCCTGTTTTTACAAATTTGGGTTTTACTTCCATGTGAAATCTACAGCTAATGGTACAGAAAGGACAGAAGCATTCAGTAATTTCCACTTTCTATTTGGAAACATTTGGAATGGGGAATTTTTGTAACATGAGAACAAAGTACTTTGGGCAGCTTCTTCAGTTACTCTTGCCTAATGGATTGTACCACTACCTGCAGCATGAGCTCCTAAGTTCAACTCATGTTAAAAGTCACTGCAGATCCCTAAAGTTGTTTTCTGTCCCTGTGAGATGAATGACAGCCCAAAAGGCGGGTGGACAGGGCTTTTAAGAAATGTGAAACTTACCAATACAAGTCCGCCCATCGGCTGCAAACTGGTATCCTTCAACACACTCACAGCGGTAGGTTCCCGGCTGGTTGTTGCAGACCGCATTGCTGCCACATAGAGCTGGTTGCTCTGAACATTCATCAACATCTAGAATGTTTTAAGGAGTCCAGTTATTACAAGGATACATTTAATACTGATGCCAAAAAAAAACAGAAACCGTGTAACTGTTAAATAATAGCAGACCTGCATATTTAAACCACATCTTTGCTAGACCATACCTCTTAAGAGATATTAGTAACCTGAAAATAAGTTTTCAGCAAACTGTGTCTTTGACTAATCTGCACAAAAAAAAACCACCCACAACCCGCCCCCCAAAAACAACACCCCCAAAACAAACAAACAAACAAACCAACCAACAAACCCAGGATGAACCATGCAACAAAACCACAAAACTGAAACAAACCACAGAAGAGGTCAGGAAATCAGACAGGAAGAAGGAATTGCTGAGAAAACAAAATAATAAATACAGCCTACAAGGTGATCGGAAGCATTGATGACTACTCTGGGAACGTGAACTTCAGGAAATACTTCCCATTTCATTATCCATATACACTCCAAATCCACTGCTGCTCAGCTCACAGCACCAGAGGACTGAAAGGGACAACGTGGTGCTGGCATTTTCATTTGCAAGTTGTTTTAAGGATTGGAAGGAAGGTTGTGTTTTGGGGGGGTTTATTAAATAAACAAACGCACACACAAAACTGCCTAAAACAACTCAGTTAATAAAATATGCGTCATCCCTATTGGTTAATGATTTATACACAATTTCATCTCTTGAAAACAAGTATTTGTGCTGTGACTAGATTATAAAACAAACCCCAGATACGTTAAAAATACAGAGCTGAGAAATAAAAGTCTCCTTCAACAAAAAAGGATTTTCAAAGCACATCTTAAAATAGATTATTTCAATTAGTTCCACATATCTGTGTGTATGCCATTTTTCATCTCCCTCAAGAGCTCATAACCTTGTTGACTCATTTTAACCAGAACTTGTAGTAAATGTCTCACAACTTAGCTCCTACCAGTTTTATGAAAAGACAAGCTGGGTAGGAAAGACGTTTTGCAAGCTAGAAAAACATACCCAAGTTTGACCCTTCAAGAGGGTCAAATGCATACTTTGATTATTGAATTACGCCAGCCACCCCAGCATCCCTCTAACCTATCTTAGACTCATAGAATCAAGTAGGTTGGAAAAGATCAGCAAGTCCAGCTTTGACAGAAGACTGCCAAGTCCACCATTAACCATGTCACTTTCCCCAGAACAACCTTTCAAGGACATTTTCACTTTGCTGGAACAGCTAGTCCTAAGGGTCAATACACTCAAGCAAAATAAATTCTACATTAGCTGTCACTTTGTAATGAAAGTTTTCTGATACCGTAACAAACGCTTCCATCTCCACGGAAGCCAATTGAACATTCACAGAAGAAACGATTTCCAGTTCCCGGACGACAGATTGCATTGGTGTCACAGTTATGGGTACCAGTGTAGCAAGGATTCCGGTTAATGTCAGCAGAGCCATCTAAGAAGAGAGACCATATTTAATCATGACAACTCTACCCAAGTCATGGAACTCAGCTAAAGCCCAGAAGGAGATTGCTTGTGGAGCACATGAAACAAGGAAAGAGAATACTTTTTGCACCAGGAAGAAGAGGACTCAGGTGATACGCAGGACATGAATGTTAGACATGGCAACTGCACCCTGTATCCTTGTTACTTGTGCAAAGGACTGCAGAGTTAAAAAATAAAGAAGCCACACAAAACTCTCTAAAGAGTAAGACTGACAATGATAACACATCTCCCAGTCAATGCCATTAGACTCAAAATGTGATTCTTAAGAGCTTGGTTTATTCATTTTAATTAGTAGAACTTTATTTTGCAACCAACAAAAGTGTCTTTTCTTGTACTCAGCCAGTGTTCATTTTCAAATTGCTTTTTTTCTGATTTTAGGGCAAACAGACAAACTTGAATAGCTCAAACAAAAAATACACTTCATAGGCTGCCTGCTTTCCAAGACAGCACCATGTTTCAAGATCAGTTATAGAAATGAGCAAAATGGCAAATTTTATTTCACTCTTTTGCCCTTTGCTCTGGCAATACCAAAAAAAGAAAAAATCATTAATAGAGGAAGTACAAATTAGGTAAATGATACACTCCATGTGTTTGGGCAGCAACAGAATTAAGGTGGCACATTGAGATTATTTCAAGCAATCAGACACAAACTCCACTGAATTTCAGGAGGTGATAATCCCTTAAATATTCTTCTCCAAGTAAAGATACAAACTTTCAGAGGTCCCGTTTTTCATCTTTATTGATGGACCTGGACTTCTACTGGCTAATGCAACAAATTAATTCAACTCATTAATACCCAACCAATGCACTCTAAAATAATATAGAAGCCTGCTCTTAATTACTCAAAAAAGAGAAAAAGAAAGATTTCCAATTCATACATACCACTGATTGGGCCAATGGAATTGCTCATAGCATATCGCAGAATCTGCTCATCTCTGTTATACAAGACAAATACGCCGTCCACTGAGAGCTGCTGAGTAGCAGAAGTAGCATGGTGCGAGTCATCATGAATGCATTCATCAAATGAGATTGTCTGTTGCCACTGATAAGCGCCTGTGTACGTGGAAGCAACCCCATCCCTTTCTGGCTCTGTCACTGTGTACTCCCTTGTGGATGATGAAGTGATCACTGGAACGTGGCAACAAAAACACTGAGCAGAACAGGAAATAAAAATACTGTGCCAAATGCTGTCTGTAGACTTAAGATACAGGCTGAGCAGTGTAAATCAAAATTTCAAAGTCGTGAAGCTATGAAAGTGGATGTGTTTCTGTGCAGAGGAATAGGCACTTGACTAGGCTTACACTGTTCTCGGGTATCACAGCTTTGATGAGTAAGTCACATAATTTATCTTGACATTTCAAAAATTTAACTTTATGAGTTGTCAGGTAAAGGAAGGAAAACTCAACTTAGAAAACTCAGAGGTTTCTTTAGATGAATTTAGTACTGGATCTGTAACTGAAGGACAAGAGCCATCTCACCAGCACTACACTACACCCACTTTTAGTTCATTGTAGGATACTGGCCTTGGATTTCAACACAGCCCTGAAGAAGATGCATGTCTGAGAGCTCTTGAATGCTTCACAAGTTTTCTACATTGTGAAAAATTGTGACCAAAACTCTTCAAAGCAAATTTGGGCTTGTGGATTCTCCCACCAACAGAAAAGCTCCTCAATACTCCACTATTCCTGGGCATTCCACAGACTGCTTTCTCTTTATTGTTCTTTCCTGCTGGCCAGCCAGCCTAGCTGTCAACACCTCAGCATCACTTTGACTTTGATGTGTTGAAATACCCATAATTTTATCCAGGAAGAGGAAAGCAAAAGAAGGGAGATTTCCCTGAAATGGTGAAATGAAGAATGGTTTCTTACCAGATCTCAGAGTCTGGGGTAAGGAAAAGAGAGAGAGGAGGAAAGTACTGAAGAGACAACAGATGAAACTGATCAGGGAATAAAGAGGTTCCTAATTATCTGGTCAGTTGTTCAAATAGAGCTCAAATAATACTGACAAATGCATATCACTACCACAGGGCAGTTACTGCAATGTAGTTTACATGACGCGTACTGGTAAATAACTGGTTTGCACACTCTCAGACAAGACCAAAGCCCACTTAATGACATTACCACAAAAAGGTATACACCAGCACAGCTCCTACTGAATTGTTGTGGACCCTACAAAAAGCTTTGCAACTCGTATGACTGCCATCAGCAATGTAAAGATAAAGCCAAAAAAAGAGGGAAATTGAGAGTATTTTGCAAACATCAGTTCACAGGCAGTTAAAAATTTTTTTTTAATAAAAAGTTTTAGAAATATTTGCATTGTCCCACACAAAATCCACCTTCTTTTGGGACCTGTTCCTAAGAAGCAAAAATCAACCTTCTGTAAATCAAAGGTTTCTAAGTACAATTGCTAAGAAGGGAATAAAATGTTGTTTTTCAAATTATCTTACTGCAGGATTGTTTGCTTTCTTATAATTTCATTCTTAAGGAACCTTACCAGAACTGGAAGTGTGATAGAGTTCAGTATATGGTTCTATATGGACTGATGCACCAGATGGGATCTCAGGTATTCTGCCCTCCATTTCAGTGCTGATAGTAAGGTGACCATGCTCATCAATTCCACTGAATTTCTGCTTGATAACAAGCTTCTCATTGTTGCCAAGAAAAGTGACTTCAGTTTGCCGTGTAAACTCACCACCTAAAGAAATGGTATTAGTTAAACCACTTGATATCACATTTTGAAGCATATGACAAATCAAAATTATACTTTCTATTCAAAGTATTGCTTCTAGTAGATAAAATATAAATAAGTCTTTTCTGCAAGCTTTGATGCAGCATAATTGCAAATGGTTTGGGTTTCTACAGAAATAACTTTAAGAGGTATAGTAAATATGATTGGATGCTGCGTGGAAACTATCTTAAGCACTGAACACACTAAACTGCAAGTAAGCCTGAAAAGGCAGGGCTTGGATTTTTGTAAATTTAAAGCAAACAAAGGTTCCAACAAAACTACTGAGAGATCTTATCCTACCAGTGAAATGTCAAAGGAGTTGTATACTTTAGAGAAAAAACCCCATTAGGAATACAGAGTTAAAAATAAAAAGAAAAATAAATTAAAAATCAGGTACAACAGTTTCTAAATCAAAACCAGATGAAATGTATGTTGTAAATTCCATAACAAACTTAAAACATACCAAATCCAATAATCCCTCCCGAAACAAATGGTTATGTGCAACTAAATTCATAGTAGAGGGCTGTAAAGAATAAAATTTTATAAAGAAACACATGTTCTTGTAGAACAGATGTGATCTACAGCTTGAATTCATGTGTAAAACCAACCAGATTTGGCCTCAGATTCTGATGAAAATACGTAATTGTGAACTGGGTTTTTCCTCCAAAAAGTTAACTGAATCATTTGCACCATAAAGCGATTGCTTCTGTTCAGAATTTCAGACCTTCAGGAGGTCAGATATTCCTTCTCTTTTGCTCTGTTAGTACAATCAGGCAATTAACATGTCAGACCTCTTGCCCTCTTGCAGATACAGGGACATCTTTCTTCAGTAGCTCTGTAAACTCCAGTACCAAAAATCAGATCCTTTTTAATAGTGACTTTCTTGCAAAGGAAAAGACATTCTTCTTCCCAAAAGACTTATGTGATTGTGCACAATAGTAAATTAAAAAGCCCAATATCTATACCCTCTAAACAAGAAAAATGGGGAGGTTGGTTATGAAAAATCTATTTTCAGCTCAGAATAAACATGTTTTCATCCTATATTGCTTCTAAATATACACTTTTTTGTCTCAAGACAGAGGAAAGCATAGCACAGTTTTTTGAACATTATTTTAACTTAGAAATTACCAGTAATGCTGAATCCATTTTTATATCCTTGCTGTTCCACAGCAAACATCCATCCTATGATACCTCCAATAGAGGCAAGAGGCAGTAAAGAATACCCCAAAGTCTCTGGGATTGTGCTGATAGCAGTGTAGGCACGCCCCTGGTTCATCACAACATAGGAGTGGAGATCAGTGTTCTCAAATATAATTGGAACAGGATTATTTCCTACAAAGATTCTTCCTTTGACCTTCCCATTGACTCTCTGAGGGGAACCTGGCAAAATCAATACAATCTGTCAGAACAAAATGACAGTTCTCACATATTTTCTAAGGAACATGTTCAGAGTGTTCACTGTGTTAAAAGATACTAATGTTGAAATAAAAGGCAAACAAACACAGAATTCAAACAGGAAACTGCCCACAAGCAGTGTGTTAATTTGCTTACGCATGTACACACGTGCCTGTGTGTGTGTTAGCATTATACAGATGATTAAGTGGCCAAAACTGCCAGAAGAGATTCCCTCATTAACAGTTTTAACTGTTAATTAACAGATAATCCTCATTAACAGTTTTGTCTGCAAGAATAACTCCTTAATGCTGGTACAGTATCTCTGACAGTAAGTGACATAGAGAAACTTCCTTTGAAGATCACACTTCATACCAAAAGCTAATGAATGTGAATTTGTTCATTCCCTATTAGAAGGCTAACACAATTAGATATTTAAATAATTGACCTATTATTCTAATCTATTTTTTGACTCAGTGATCAAAACTATTGACCATTTTAAAGACTGTCAGTGTTTTACACAAGTAGCTACACTTTATTGCTGATTTTCTTCTGTATATAATTTCCTACATGCAAATTCAAATTCCATTATCGCCAGATCCTTCTCTTTCTCTGGAAAATTCAGTTTCATGAACTCAAAGCTAGGTAGTAGCTTTTGCTTTCCTGACTTATAAAGCACAAAGTCTGCAGTCAGCTATTTCGGTTGTTGAAATGTATCTATACTGCCGGTCATGTCACTGAGGATTACAAGTGTATACATAAGGAATTCCTTTATGGATTTTACACAGGAACAAAGTTTAAATGGGTATCTAACAAAAACCTGGCAGATTAGCCCATTAGTAAAGAAGTTTAAGAGTCAGACAAAGAGGAGCCATGCTCTTTAGTTTTACAATCAAAGTAGATTTATTCATCCTCTTTGAGCTGTCCATTTCTAGAGTGAGGACCATATCAGATTATAACACATTGGACTTTCATGACTAATTCTAGCAAAACAAAATAAAGTAATTAAAAAAAACCCAAACCAAACAAAAAAAGCCAAAACACCGGATGTTACTCTATTAAATTGTGCCAGTAACAGAAGAGTTTATTTTAGGCTGTCAATTACATGCATCAGGCATTTTAACATGACTTTCTAGAAATAATAATCTGCTTCATTCAAAAAAACACACCATTTTAGAAAGCATAGTTCACTTCCTAAGATATCTTTCAATACATCTCAGTAATAAGTCCTTCAAAACGTATATAACCACGTCTTTTCTTGTCCTGAAGAGGTCATCTCATTCAAGAATGCCATATGTAATTGCTGCTGATGTACCTCATTTTCAAAAACATTACCTTCTGCTATGCACTGTCTGCCATTTCCTTTGTAACCAGCAATACAACTGCAGCAAAATCCATTGGGATAATCTGTGCAGATGGCATGAACAGAGCACTGGTGGCGGTTGTTAGCACAGGTCTGTTGGACATCTGTGTTGTAGCGAAACACTGTAGAAAGAAAAAACAGACACTTATACTTCATGTAATTACTATAGTGTTCACATATACCTGCTTTAGTTTAAAAGCTCTCTAGACTAACTTGATTAGGGTTTTTTTTCATTTTCTCTAAAAGGAAAACGAACAATTGAAATCCATTTTTGTTAACCTCGCAATATGCAAGTAACACTCTACTATTTTGGAGAAAACATCAGGGCTTCCAGATGTTAGAAAACCATTTAATTCTGTTGACTTCAGCCAATATGTTGAATTGTCTGTGAAATTAAAACACACAATTTTAACCTGTCCTTGTTTACAAAACAAGGCAAAAAGGAGAATTTCCAACCTCAAAATAAAACACATCAGTATGGCACCCAGAACAAGGCACCAGCTGATGCACCCTGTAATCCTAACTGCTTTACCATTTCATTTCATGGAGAAAGTAATTCTCACATCTGCTTCAAGAAACAAGTAACATCTGGACAGTCAGTCACACCGTTTTGAATTTTCTATAAACACCTGCTCAGAAGTTAGAATTGCTAAGCCCACCCTGTAAAACTTGAGGCCATGAAACCCTAGCCAACATTTTTTACAAGAGTTACTATTCTTAACCTTTATTAAATAACCTGTATTCAGTAACACATACGTGAAAGGAGGAAAAAAAGCTAGATTTCAGTAGAACTGATCAACTAATTCTTACCAGGAACAGCCACTTAATGCAGCTGTTAAAGTTAAGATCATACGTTTAACAGTAGTCCTGGGCAAAAGAGATGGGGAAATCAGTTCTCACTAAGAATAGAATCATAGTATCATAGCATGTGTCATCTTTAGGAATATGATATCTCTGGAGGAGGAATCTTTCCTTCAGAGGGATTCAGATTCCACAGACATGCTGTAAGTGTGCTGTCCTGTGAGCTTGACAGGGAAACTAGTTTACCAGACTGGCAACATTCGAGTCTGAGATGACATCCAAGTTAAGTAGCTCAATGAATAACAGAAACTTATTAAACATGTCTAGATTTTCAGATATGAAGATAGTGAGAAGGAAATTGATTATTTTTTTAGTACTTCAATTTTTTGCATGTCACTGTGTTTTCACAGCCTATACATCTCAGAAGGACCCAAGCAGTACAAAAGACCTTACCTATACCAGTTTCATCAAATTCTTCCACATCTATGACTTGGGGTTGCTGTGGGGGAAACTGCTGGACCTGGAACTGGCGAGGTGGGGCTTTTGCTGTTGGGAAATCTTGATGACTGTAAAAAGACTCAGTTGAAGGTGTTCCAGTTATATCTTGGTATGAAGTTGGATAGTCTTCTTCAGCCAGCTGAGGAACACTATACGTAACGTAGTGCTGATCCTCCTCTGTGCTATCTGTACTACTGGTGACATACTGCTGTTGTATTTCAGTGGAGCCATAATCTGACATAAATGGTTTTGAAGTTATGTCCTGGTCTTGTTCATTGGACTCTAGGCTCTCCAAAATGTTGCTTGTCTTGGCAGGCACAATGCTGTCAGATGAGCTACTGATCTCAAACACCCAGATTCCTCTCCTCCCAGCATTGCTGCTTCTATCAAAGATAAGCACACACCAAATCAAAATGATCAAGTACAAGTTTTGTAGTATTTCTAGCCTACACAAAATGCTATCCTTCACTGACAAGTATCAGGATGAAAATGTTGAATTATTTTATCCACAGGTACAGTTTATTCAGCTATAAAACCCCCTGGCAGTTTGGATGGCATTTTTTTCTCCACACCCAGAGATCTCTTCCTTAGAATTTCTAGCCTTCTTGTCTCCAAAATGATGGGAATAGAAGGAGACAGTTGGGCCACAGAGATCTTGCTAAAACTTACTAGAACTTCCTAACTCATTCCCTTTCCTTCTTGTTCACCCTTTCTTTCAAGAGAGAAGACTGTCCAGGACAGACTATGAAAGTTAAAGTCTAAGTGGTCTTATTTTTAGAAGGGATAGCTAAACAGCAGTTCCTGCCACTGACAATGGAGCCATGGACTATCAACAAATTAGAACAAAGTCCTCATATTTCTCATGAGGGTGGATATTTGTCAATGACAGCCTTTGCAATCTCTCATGCAATGACTAATGGGATCTTATTATTTCTCATTGGCTCATACTACAATTAAGAAAAACATGGAACTCCTCGATGTTTTCTTAAGGAGTTTAAACAAACAAACAAACAAACAAAAAGCACATACTTGTGCAGGTTTCTAATGCTGTCTTCATCATTAGCAATGACATTGTAGGATCCTGGCTTTTCCCAGAAGTAGTAGTTTGTAGAGGCTTGACTAAAGCCAACCATAGCAGGAACCTTTTTGTCATCTTTCTTGGAGTATGTGCTATAGAACTGCAAACTATCTTCTGGATAAAGGAAAATAGCATAGGAACTGGAGTCAGAAGAGGCTAAAACAGCCTGGAATGTGTTTCTCTGTTGGGGGAAAAAAAAAAAATGAAAGGGAAAGAAAAAGCATCCATTTACTTATGAAAAAATAGTCATGATTGACAATGGAATAACTTATTTTTAAATACTAAGTCAAAATCAGAATTTCCATCACCCATAATGCATCATGTTCTTCCTAGGAGAAATAAGTATTACACATGCTTAAGTTTTGCTAAGGCAGTTTTAGCTTTAGTATTCATAAACACTAGAAAAAAAACAACATTATCAAAGGTAAGTTAAATCTGTTAGAACATAGCCAGAGAGGCTGCCTAAAACACAACAATTCTAAGTTCTATAACTTGCATAGGATTCTATATCACCTCCTTAAAATAAAGGGCAAATTTGGAAGACTAAATAGAAAAATTCTGTAAACAGAATATTTAAAGCAGAGTTCAAGTTTCATGCTGCTGCAAGTATCTTGTCTTGGAACCATCAAGACAGCACCTCAGGCATCAGTTATTTGTTGCTACCTGAGTGCAGGGCCATTACTATAAACACAGTGGTTGTGCCTAACTTGATACAAGAAATTAATCTTTGACAAAATAAGGTTTTCTAAGTTGTGGTAATGTTCTCAACTTTAAACACTGTGAGCAAAGTCATCAGATGGGATAATTATGATACATAAAGTGACATGTTTTTTCAGGATAGTACTTAACATGGTTTTAAAAGGGAAAACTGGTTGCATGTAATAAAAAAAAACAACCAAAAAACAAAGCAACCTCAAACTGCTTCTTCATTCAGTACTAGCTACAAAACATTCTGTCACCTGTCCAAAAGAGTGCCACAGTTTCAAGTTCCTATTAGTCCACATAGTTAGAGAGTTTGATGTCAAAAAGACTTAAGAGTCTATTAAAAAAACACAAACTGACTGCATTAAATTGCACAGATGGAGGGCAGGATATCCTACGATTTCAGTTATTCCCAAGGAAACTTAACATTGAGAGTAAAAGTTGTCAGGGAATACAAAGAAATCGGCTATGTAGATTCAAGGATTTTCTTTTGAATGAATACAATACTGTAAATTAAAAATGAAGTAAAAATTCTAGAAACTCCTATTCTGCTACAGTTTTTTCAACAATAAAATATATTCTGAACTGTACAATATTCCTTTAAACACAAAGGAATTCAAGCCACCAAGATAACAGCTTATGGTGTTCAGCTGAACATGTGTCCAACATGTCTTAAAACTCACCTTTTCTTCCAAAGCATGACCTTCTCTCAATGGCTGGTAGGGAGCCACGAGCTTCCAGGTAACAATGACAACACTGCTGGGATCAAAAGTAGTCTCAGGAAAACCTCTTTTGATATAGTCTGATGCAAGTTGTAAGACATCTGAGGATGAATCTTCTCGGTAATACACGTTTCCACGTTCATCTGTTGTGTCCAGGTCAGCCATAAAAGGAGCAATAGCCCCAAAACTGATGGGGAATTGACCGAGATATTTTTCTTCACTTGAAGGTTGATTCACTGCAATAATCCCATTACTGGTAATCTAATAAAAAGGTGGAAATTATAAGATAGATACTGTTCATATGGCTGTCTCCCACACCTATGTGCTTTAAATCACAATATTTTGATTGCATTTCCAAAATAAATTGAGTCGAAAGTCAATCTTGTACTTGAAAAGTAACAGAATTTTTTCAAGGGTTTGTTTGTTTTTTTTAATCCTGTTTTGTCAGGAGTCCTGGGATTTCACTTGTCCAAAACCAGATGTCTACTTTACAGGTAGAACAAAAACCAGATGTGTACTTTACAGGTAGACCAACCTTTTTTTCCTTAGATAAAGATTTTAACTATTTAAAAGTCAGACACTTATTGCCTCTCCTAACAAAGATTGACAACACTGCCACATTTCACAAGTTTCCAAGTCTGTCTCAGGCTGAGACCCAGCACAAACCCTCTGTGAGTCTGTCAAGAATTGTTTACAGACAAGTGTCAGCATCACTGGGCATGGAAAGGACAAAGCAAGTATTTGCAACAGCTACTTTTTTGGTCAACCAGCTAGCTAGATTCTTATCTGGTGTAAAGCAATGTAGACTACAAAGATGCTCTATCAAATAGCATACCCTCCGGGAATCTGGACTTCGAACATGAAGGCAGAGGAGAACACTCAATCTGGACAGTTTAGAAAGCTGTCCGTTTCTGAGAAAGTCTGATGTCCATAAAAACAAACCACAAATGGGCATGGGGAGGAGAAACTGAAGAGCTTTGTCTTGTCCCACACAACAGGCTATGCCATTCCCACGAAAACCTCATTAGGAAGTCAGGATGCAAGTGGATCAGCTGAGCTTTCATTGCTAGTACAGCACTGTCTCAGAAGCTGATAGAACTTCTGAGCAAAGAACTAATTTATACATAGATACCTACCCAAAAAAGCTGTTCCACATGTAAGTGCTGCAATAGTTTAGGGGAAAGTCTTCTGGGAAGATGTACAGATTTCCGTTTGTCTGGCCAGGACTGCTTTAATTTTCATTTCAACCATCCTTCTAGGAACTTCTCTGCTACCATGAAAGGTTGACTGCAACAAGCTGCTTCTCACTCTTAAGACATATTGTGAGCTCAGCTCCTATTCCAGAGGCTATAGAGGCTAGGAGACAGGCTTTCTGCAGCAGATATAGGCTACCCTGTAAATTCCCTTATAGCTGAGTGCCCTGACACTGTCCTGTGGCAAACTGGCTCTATTACTTGGGGGAGGAAAAGGAGAGGAAAGACAACACACTGGGGACAGACAACGTACAACAACACATTAACATATATAAGTGAAATCTTGGTATGAAAATGCATATATACTGGCTCTATGAGATGATGACTTGCAGCCAACCACCTGACTAAAAATAACACATATACAGGTAGATGCTGGGGCCTGTCCAAACATGACAGCTGAACTCCCTTGGCAAACCAGAGCTCACTCTCACAGCCACAGAAACAGCAAACAAGACTACAGGTGTCAGGCCTCGAGGCAGCACACAAATTGCTCACACACAAGTCCTGGGCCCTTCTTCCAGACATGTATGACACTGTATGGATCAGCTACTTAGAAAAGTGTTCCCAGTGCTTGACTACCTAATAACAGGGCATATCTGACTACCTGCAGGCAGCCAGGCACTCACCATTCTAGAGCTGCTTGCCACACACAGGTTACTCCGAAAGATGAAGGTCCCAAAACTGGCACCATAAGGAGTGAAACTAAACTGCAATTTCCCACAGATTTATCTGACTCACAGGGATTCTTGTCAGTCCAAGAAGAACAAACTGCTGCTGGATCTTCTCACACAGTCAAGAAGTTTACAATATTACACAGTCTTTATTAGTCCTTGGTAAAGGGTCAGAATGGCCACTGACTCAGGCTGCAAGACCTTCTAGGCCAGTAGCCTGTCCCCAGGTCTATCTGCTACTTACAGATTCAGCAGAACAAGAGGACATGTGCTCACAGGCCAGAAAGCCAACCGTATCCTGGGCTGCATCAAGAGGAGCATGACCAGCAGGTCGAAGGAGGTGACTCTGCCCCTCTGCTCTGCTCTCATGAGACCTCACTTGGAGTACTGTGTGCAGTTCTGGTGTCCTCAACATAAAAAGGACATGGAACTGTTGGAATAAGTCCAGAGGAGGGCCACGAGGATGATCAGGGGACTGGAGCACCTCCTGCATGAAGATAGGCTGAGAAATTTGGGGCTGTTGAGCCTGGAGAAGAGAAGGCTGCGTGGAGACCTCATAGCAGCCTTCCAGTATCTGAAGGGAGCCTATAAGGATGCTGGGGAGCGACTCTTCTTTGGGGACTATAGTGATAGGACAAGGGGTAATGGGTTAAAGCCTAAACAGTGGAAGTTTAGATTGGATATAAGGAAGAAGTTCTTTACTGTAAGGGTGATGAGGCATTGGAATGGGTTGTTCAGGGAAGTTGTGAATGTTCCATTCCTGGCAGTGTTCAAGGCCAGGTTGGACAGAGCCTTGGGCAACATGGTTTAGTGTGAGGTGTCCCTGCCCATGGCAGGGGGGTTGCTACTAGATGATCTTAAGGTCCTTTCCAGCCCTAATTATTCAGCTCACTGGATTCCCTGTGGTTTGACTGGTCACCCTCAGTGGATCTCCTTCACATACTTGTTATCACTTGCTCATAATCATCATATTTTTCTTTCCCTTTTCAACTATACACATTTGGAAAGAAGGAGGCCAGCACTACATATATTCTTCAAGACACAGAAAAACTGTGGGCTGTGCAAACCTGTCAAGGATGTTGACTACATGTGTCTTGGCAACAGCCTTTAAAATTCAGACCACCCTCACTACTACTACTACATAGAGCAAATTAAAAAAAAGGTCTAGTACAGAAACTCATGCTACAGATCACCCCTTCATATGCAACACACACCTATATCTTGGAACACTCACCCTTTGGCTACCCATGGGGTCAGAGAATGCCCCCTGCCACAGGCAAGTGGTCAATCAGCTTGGTGCATAACTGAGTAATGGTTAGCTTGAACCATTAGCTAAGCTTTGCATATAGTTCACATGGTATATCAGACTGCTTTAAAAATGGCTTGATATATGATGACTGCATTCTCGGCAGATGTATAATTTCATTACCTTCTACAGTAAAAAATGCTAAAACATTAAGGTCATGTTAAAAAAAGGAAGTCGGCTTTATGCATGAACAGCATATCTAAGATACATAAGCAGTACATAATCTGCGTAAGCATGATGGGAACACAGGTCGTGTTAGAAAGTGAGAGAAACAGCTGAGTATTGTGATTGGTTTTCCTCTAATCGTTTGTGACTAAACAGTAGCCACAGATCCTAAGGTGAACTGTGAATTTCTGAAATACAGAATTAAAAAGACTGGGTTTCCCCAGCCTAGACCCTGCAATTGCAGGCAGACATGCATCAGAGATCTAGTCCAGATAGATCCATAAAACTCTTATGACACATTAGAAAATGCCTCAAAACCTTGTAAAGCAAAGCTGAAACCCTACTATACTATTACAATATACCACTGGAAAGCAGTAGGGAAGATGAGGGGGGAGGGAGAGGGCGTAACAGTCTACTTGCCAAGACTTTTTTTCAAGGAGATGCACTCCACCTTTAAAGTAATATATTTATGAGTAAATTAGAAGTTCTTCCCTTCCTTCTCCTTGCTTACACTTTTTGTACACAAGCACCCCTACTCCCACTCTAACTCCTCTTGTGAGAGATGACTGATGTTTGAAGTATTTTAAACAAATTCCGTGCTCTCCATCAGATTTGGTGTGTGCAGACTTTGTGGCTTCATGATCCCCCATTTATGGCAGAGATTAAAATAACATTAAGAGAAAACACAATCACTACTAGTTAATACTACTGAACAAAGTAGAGAGCTGAAGAAATGACCCAACATTTGGCCCTTTTCATCTATCAGGGGCATGTTTCTGAATACTCATTTCCTATCTTGCTAAAAACTTAAATGCAACAAGCAATTTCATTAAGGAGATATAAAAATGCCAACACCATTTTCATTTGTTTGTAATTCATAAATGAGGCAGTTCAGTTTTAAATGTGAAGGGAATGCTTGGTTGCAAGTACTCAATCACCCAGAAAACATTTGTAAGCCATTAAATGAAAATACACACAAAACCTGCTCACTTTGGAAAGGGATTTTTAGTGTAGAGAAAGAGCATCCATTATTACTGAAAAAAAAAAAAAAGTGCTTTTAGTTTTCAGATTTAACAATACATTTATTTTGACAGAGATGGTGAATACTATGATTTAACTTTACCATGTTCCTTTTAAGGACACACAAGTTAAAGTGTGAAGCCCAAAATAAAGATAAGTAACTCAGGGTAAGTAACTGGTTTCATTAAAGTATCATTCCTGTCAAACCAGATGAGGAAGGGGGCGTTGTCTAAAGACCAGCTGTACGGTACATCTTTCCTTTTAGGGTATTATACTATGTAACTTGACAAGAACTAACACAGATATATTTTTAGCATGTTAAACTTCTGGATTACACGCATAGTTAACATACATTCGTGGTTTGTAGCAGAACAAATCACACACTATGACAGGTCAACCTTGAAAAACCAATCAAGGAGCAAGTACTTCAGTTGAAAGAAAAAGAGTATCTGTGTGCATAGAATAGTGACTAAAGTTTCAAACAAATGAGGTACTTTCCCTGTTCAATGACTAGGCATTTTGAGGACTCGAGTATTTCTGTGTAAGAGAGTTTAGAAAAAATGTCATTTATTTGTATAATGAAGTGCCAGTTGATTTAAAGCAGAAAAAAACTTTCTAATGCAAACATGACCAACTCCTTATTTAGGAAGTTAGTAAAAGTACTGATCAAAAAATTGATCCAAGCTTGCCTTAAAGGACTCTGATTCTTCCCTAAAAGGAAGTTATCCCTAGTCCTTTAACTTTTCCACACCAGTGAGCCCTAGTGTAAAGTGCTAAAAGCTTAATAAAAGCACATTATTAAAACAAATAGATCAGTATGGGTTAGTGATACAATTCAGTGCTATAAATCTTGCCTAGGAAAACACCATCTCAAAGATTATAGGATGTCAAAGTCTGTTTCCACTTTTTTTAAACAAAAGTTTTGTTGCCAAGAATTTTATGACAACTTGACATTAAACAATCATTCCTTGGAATTCCTTGCCTTTTTATTCATGTGTAGAGTTAACTCAAAGAACTCGGCTTCTCAAATGCTGGGGAAAAAAAAAAAATAGAGAACCCACAGATTTGCAACTGACTGAGGGAAAAAATCGCAAAAATCAAGCACTGGAAAATTAAGATAAGCTTATCATATTATCCTGACGAACTATACTGAAAGATGTCTTACATGACAACTCAAAATCTGATTCAGGAACTCCTTTATGTATTAAAATGCGTCTCTACCAACAGCACACATCAATGGTATCAGCTTGATAATATTTACTACCAACTAGCAATACTGTGGCAAATTCTGCTTACTGAATAACATCAGAGAGCTTAATAAGTACTCACTGCCAATATACAATAAAGCTGTGTACTGTGAAAGAGCAGTTAAGACTGCTCAACACACTTCCTTAACAGGTATGTTGAGACCCAGCACCTCCTTTTCCTATCCCCATATAGTTTGTACTGTTCTGTTTTGCAATACTTGTGACAGATGAAATGCAAAATAAAAAGTATGTATACTGTATACTATGGAGACTAATACTAAAATACCTTTCATTATCAGATTTTGTATTAAAAATCACCCTTACTTATTACTGAGTAATCACACTGAAGAGAGCCATAAAAGTGATTCTGGAACACAGCCTCTACACAGGTATTCCTCCAGACAAACACTAACTAGAACTGTTCCTGTTTTATGGCACAAGCAAGTAACAAGATCATTAAACCAAAGAAACCTAGTGTGGTTAACCAATTTACTGCTCTTTGAAATCACTGTCTCCTTTCTGTCACTTATCTGACACATTACTGGTTATCTTTGCTTCTCAATGACAGGATACAGAGCCTGCTATCTTTCAAGAATATGCCTGTGCTTCAGAAAGTGTGGTTTTTACTTGGGTTGGCTAATCAGTGACCAACTTAGAGTATGGAAGACAAGACAATGAACTAAGGGTCACACTAAAGTCTGAACTCCACTTAATAGTTGTGAATTACTTGGTCTTCACTACCAGCCAGTGAAGACATCCATTTTCGACACAGGCATAACTTGAATCCCTCAAAATTCTGGATTTTGGATGTAATTCCAGGAACAGGCAGGGTTGAAAATGAAAGAATATAACTTAAGTGGCAGCAGTAATGCAAGCATGTGTCCTGGGTTCAGCAGTAGCAGTCATTTTTCTCCTTCCTAGTAGCTGGTGCAGCACTGTTTTTGACTTTCGGCCTGGGAACAGAGCTGATAACGCTCAAATGTTTGGTCTGGCCAAGGACTTTGTGAGCCTCATGCTCTGCCACAGAGGAGGGGAAGCCGGGAGGAAGCAGAGACAGGACACCTGACCCAAACTGACCAAAGAAATATTCCATACAACACCACGTCATGCCTAGGATGTAACCGAGAGTTACCGGAAGGGCTAGGGGACTGCAGGGTTGGATGAAGTATCGGTCAGTGCTTGGTCGGGCTGGGGGGGCGAGTTATCAGTCAGCGGGTGGTGGGATGTTATATTCTCTTCCCTTGTTATTTCCTTCATCATTACTATTATTGGTGGCAGCAGTAGTGATTTGTGTTATACCTTAGTTACTAAACTGTTCTTATCTCAACCCGTGGGAGTTGCATTCCTTTTGATTTTCATCTCTGTCCCTCCAGGAGTAGGGGGAGGGCAAGAAAGGGGGGAATGAGTGAACAAGCTGCCTGACTGGTTTTAAACCATGTTAAGTCTTTGGTGAATGCCCATAAAACTGACTCAAGTACCTGGGAACTACATCACATTTGGAATAACTGTGACCACATGAAGGTCTAGTTTTCCAAGTGTTTCCACGTAGATAAGTCCCCAGAGCTGCATCTTAGACCCATGATGCCTAAAGCATGTTGGTTTTTCCAGACAGCAAGGTGGGTTTTAACTTGATCAGATAAACACACACTGGGCCTTCCTTACTAAGATCAGTCAGTACTCTTGCAGTATTTTGAAAACGTGCTGTCAGTATAAACTTTTTTTTTCCCTAGCTACTTTTGACCAGCTTTGTTCCAGACAATCTGTTTTCAATCCCACCTTCACATACTAAATGTCTGCCATTAGCTATAAACATGCACACACACCTCTAGGATGCAGATCCTGCTATGAGGCACATGCACACATAGCTGAGCTCTGCCTGCAGCTCAAAGCCTGCAATTGCTCTGGGTGTGGATTTCACCACCCCAAAGACCATTGAGCAACAAACACCAGAGAGTGCCCAAGACATTAACAAACAGAAAGCATTCAGTGCTCAGAGGTGCAAACCTTGGATATGTCAGGCTGCTGGTTAGAAATTCATGGCATGCTGAAGCACACAAAACATAGACCACGAGGAGGATGTTCCTTAACTGGACGTGCTCCCTCTGAGGGAGCACAAAAAAACCGCCTGGGGATGGTGCTCACTCTGGACAATCAGTTACATTCTCTTTATCCTCTTACTGTCTGTTCTATCGCCTCCCAGTACAGGCTGCCGTGCACTGCAAAGAATCAGCAACAACCACGCTGCGAGAACTAACACGGCCCTGATACCTAACTGAACACAGATGGAAGAATGAAGCTGTTTGGACTGACCTCTGACCACGGAGCTCACACAACCGACGTGAAACCCAACAAGTATGATCAACCCCAAACCAGGCAACATCACGGCAAGAAGACACAAGCCGCCCGGGGAGACCCCAACAGACTTCCCACCCCTTCGGCAGCCGGAGAGGGCACCGCGACCTCTCGGTCCCACACTCACGTAGAGGGAGTGGACGGCAGCACCGTAGAACCGCAGCGGCGTGCTCAGCTCCAGCGCCATCGACCGCACATCGTCCCCGTGCGCCAGGACAGCATCGCCGCGCTCCTCGCCATGGGGCAGCAGCACCAGGCACTCGGCGGGCAGCGCCAGCTGCAACGCCAGGACCAGCAGCGCCCAGCGCGAGCAGCTCCGCACAGCGCGCATCCCTCCGGCTCCGGGTGCGGCGGCGCCGTCTCGCCGATATAAGCGCAAGAGGCCGGGCCCGGCCGGGTCCGCGGCCAATGGCTGCGCTGGGGACGAGGGGAGGGCAGGACTCATATGTCCCCCGCGGAGCGACCCGGACCAAGCTTCGCCCGCCACCGCGACCCCGGGGTCTGCTCCCACAGCCCGCGGCGGGGGCACCGCGCGGGACGTAATGGCGTTAGCTCCGGCACGGAGGGGCCGTCTCCGGGGGTCGCTGGGTGGTGAGGCTCAGCCGCTACCGGGATCAGAGCGTGCCGCTTGAGGGGTGAGGAACTCGGGAAGCTAAGTGAGCGCGGGGACGTAGGAGTTCGAGAGCTGCTCTCAAACCTGTGGCTCTTCTTGCAGGACAGCTGCGGTTTCCGAGCTAGGGAAATGCAGATTCCAAGTTACCCCAGGAGCTGCAGGATCTTCCACCAGCGTGGCAACAGCTAACGCACAGAAAAAAAAGTAGCAAAATCGATGTGGAACAAACGTATGAGTCTCTCTACTGTATTCTGAAATCATTTTGATGCCAGCTGCTTATTATGGCGGGGGAAAACTAATAAATACACTGAAATGTACTTCATAAATTAATATTATCAATGAGAGACGTGCACTTAGTTGCAAATAAAATAAAAAAAAAAGTCTGTAAATGAAAACGCACTGTTGATATGAGATACACAGAAAAGAAATATGGGATATCTAAATATATTCTTTCTGACTATGTCTTCTTAGTTTATAGTTTAGTAAAACTCTGAAGCAACTGGAGAATTGGGTACATTTAATATATCTTTCCTAAAGCTTCCAAGTGAAGACAGCAGTGTTTAAGCCTTGCCCAGCAGACTGCAAGCCCCTATATTTCCACAGAATGTTTATAGCAGAAAATCACCAGAGGGAAAGCAGCTGAAATGCCACCCACATGCTTTGTACGTGGCTTTTTTACAGTTATTTACAATTGACTTTTGTATTTCAGTATAACAGAAGCAAGCAGCACGGTGCTCTGAGAGGAAGGCAAGTCTCCCCTCCACACAATTCGGTTCTTGCTGTACTTACACCTACAACTTCCCTTCATAGTGTCAGAGCCCCAAAGTAACTGGTGGATTCAGGGATAGCTGGCTAATCATTGCTGGAAAAGCAGCCTCTTGGCTGGATCACTATCTGAGCACAGTCATATTCACAAAGACATCTCAAGATACCCTGCTGAGGTATCTTCCTCCTCATTTGACAAATGGATACCTAAACTAGAAGCAGTTAAATAAACTATAACTTATGCACATTAAATCTATACAGTGGAATACTACTGCCTTCACCATTCATCCTCTAATTACAACCTCACCTCTCGAGCGTAAGCCCATTCCCAAACCTGCAGAACCTAAAGGCAAGGTGTGCTTGTGCAATGTAGCAAAGAGAAAGCCTAAACCAAACTCCTTAACACCTCCAGGATCCCATATACACATTCACACATTCACAACATAAAACCGTCGTTCCTATCAGGCTTGAAGTTTTCCATAGCCACATTTCCCTTCAATACAAAAGTCAATGTGAACAAAAGGAAGATATAAGCTCAAGAAAAAAATTGTGAAGGTAACATTTTTCCTGTCAGATCCACATGATTTCCTATTATTATGTCCAGAATTCAGAGGATGAGGACCACTGGGAAGCCAGAAACTTACTGTAATACATTTTAAATTTATTTGAAAGCCAAAGAGTTAAATATCTTCATCTGCATGTTTAAAACAGAGTAACAGCAATGTCATGGTAAATCCTTTGTCCATTAGTCAGTATATTGTGATTGTTTATACTGTTTTTAAGAGGATTGCAGTGTTTCTGTGGTAGCTGAATAATTTGAGCTTGCAGCTGCCACTGTTAGGAGTAATGAGAAATGTTAGTTCTAAAACTAAAAAAAAATATTTTCAATTGTCCTTTCTAGCATCTTCAGTAATGACTTGAAAAAGGATCGAAAAGCATGCTTACATAATACGTAATTAACTGAGAGATACTAATTGCTAACACCAATCAGAATGGAGAACGTGAAAGACTTTAGCAAGATTTGAGAAGAAAGAAATATATTCAAGTGCAAACTGCAATATCATCAGCTAACACACCACCAAGAAAAATCTTCCAAAACATAGCCAGTGAATGCCAAGACGACCATCACATTTTCAATAGATCATAAATCAGATATGGCAGCAGTTTACAAAGCAGCAGCATTCCCAGAGCAGCTACCGAGATCCTGTAGAACAAATGAGCAGGTTTTACTGTGTTACAAGTGACATTTTCTAAAGGGACAGAATGATTCTGTTTTTCCAGAGATTGCTTGTGAGATCAGTGATGTCACAGAAAATTCAGCACTAGAGAGACTTCAGAGTGGAACACTAAAAAAGATCAGAGGACCTGAGGGAGTGGCATAAAAGGAATTGTTCAAGAACCAAATATGTGTTCTTGGCTAAATGATAAGGGAACACTTCATTAACATCTTCCACCAAAGCTACAGAGTGTCTTCAAATATCTGAAGAGTGCTACCAAACAGACAAATTACATGGGCAAGTTTGAGAAGTACAGGTAACCAGGAGATCACAGTAACTAAAAGAAGCCATGGAAGTGTCAGAAAATGCTTCCTTACAATGGTCTATTTTCAGAAAAGTTACAGATTAGGTGTAATAGAAGCCGAATGACAGAAAGCTCCAAGTGTCCAAAACTAGGTTTGGTTGGGTTACTAAAGAATAAAACTTAAGAGAGAATTCTGTGTGTGATCATGAGAGAAGACAATTCAGCTGATTTTGACCTGAGTTCCTATGTTCATACAGTACTAAAAAAGCTCAGAGGCATACACACACACACACACATACACATATTTGAAAACTTCCACTGCCCACATGTGAGGAGATTTGGAAAAGCGGATTGCAGATACTGTGAATCTCCTGACCTCCTCAATCCCCACCCTTGTGTTCTATTAACAGAGAGAATTTAGTGATCCCTTTGCTGGCATGACTGGAGGAAGGAAATGATGGGCCCCTCATGATGATCTTCTGCTGTCCAAAGATGACAAAGCATTCTAGAGGATAGATCATCAAAGGAGAGATTAACCATGTGGTAAAAAAATGGAGAGAACTGAGCATCTGGGGTAATGACAGGAAAGAATAGGACTGAGGTCTGCTGAGGAGCATTTTTTAGAGGGACAAGGTCATGGGAATCAGGGTCAAAGGCAAGGCTTGCAGGAAGATCATGGAGTGAGCACCATAAATTTAAACCACTCTGTCTTGGAACTTAATGTTCATTACAGTGGAAAACAATGAGATTCCATCTGTAACTCTACATGAGCCATGTCACATCTCAGGATCAACTGCAAAAACAGTGTATTTTACAGCAGAACTCCCTACAGCAAGACACTAATTTTGAAGCACTGTTAGAAGCTCTTGAGAGGAGATGTACATGAAGGGCAATATTGTATCTCATCCTCTGCATTAATGTAGGGTACAGAAGATTGTAGAATTCCTTCTTTTTCTCGCATGCAGAGATCTTGCAGGGCAGCAAAAGGACAAGCTCCTTGTGAACTCATATCCAGTTCTAAGGAACAGCTGGGCAAGAACAGGGAAGTGTTAACACTTGGCCAATGACCTGGTCACTATAGAAGACATACCCTGCTGCAATATAATGGTCCATGGCAGTAATGGATTGGTAACTGCCTGGTGCAGGGCAAGAAGCATGGGAGAAACAGTATCTCTCAGGCTTGTCCTAGGTCTGATGCTAGGAGAGACTGTTTACATTTCTAGGGTTACCTCTACCTCTTTCCATGTAGCATTATTAGAACAGATAACTGTATTAATAAGAGAACGAAAAAAATTATCATGGAAGAATTTATGCAGTGAAGTTATGTTTGTACAGAATCATGAACACTGTTCGTCCAGTTTGTAACTGAGGGAAAACTAGATGGAAAACAGGACAGAAAAATATCAGCATCACAGAAAATGGCTAGATAAAAAAGCAAGTCTTACAATCCTCCCGTCATGTAGCCACATGAAAAATATGATTCTTTTTATATGTTTTTATGAAAATATCCTTCTTGTATCCTAATGCTTGTTGTCCTTCAAGAATGGAGTCTCTAATCCAGTAAGAATACTAGACCTCTCTAAGAGAGAATTGTAATAGTGCAAGAAGGTATGTAATTAGTCTTCTATTTCAGTATTCAGCACAACACTAACTAGTACACCTACACCAAGTCAGCTACTACCTCTACTCCTGTTCTACTGTTTTGTTATTATCTAAGATTTCTAGCTTTGTGCAACAGAAGACTCCAAAGAGACAAGAACTACTGGCTTTAAAAAACCACACACAAGACAGGAAGACAAAATGTATGACCAGTTTCTCATATATGCAAAAAACAATCACAAATGAAGGAACATTGTTTTTTAAACAATGGGAATCACACATGGAAAAGCAGTTTAAATACGACAGGAAGACAGACATAAAAAAGGTAACCTTTACCTCTTATCTACTCTGAGACCAGAAAAATAACTACTCTGACCCACTGGTATCTTATTGTGTCAGATTTTAGGAATAACAGAAGCAAGCAGCAATGGTGATATAGACAGAGAACATACAACAGCAACGGTAATATAGACAGAGAACATACATCTCCTTATAGTCTGGTGATGAGATGGTATTTAATGCATCTGAAGTTAAACCATCACTTCAGATTGAATGTGCACCCAAATCAGAAGCATTGCTAAATTTTATATTCTGTTCTACTTGGAACCCAGACTTTGACTGCAATGACTGTGAATTTTGGTTGTACATGGAACACACAAAAAAGATACTGCATTGAGTCCCAGCAGCAAAGCTTCTACAGGACAATCAGGAAGAAAAGAGAGGCAAAGCACTGGTCTGATGCTAGTGGCAGCTAGAAATTGAGTAACAAATTATTATGAGAGAAGCTCAGCCTCAACTTTTCTACAAACATTCATAAGGGCAAATAAGGTTTGAAACATTGGCACAGTCTTTCCTTTGAC